TCATCCACATCCACAAACATCCGAAAAACATTCCCATTTCGTTGCGACATTAATTCGCGTTACATTTCGCTCCCAACAGACATTGAGTGACAGTAAATAGAGACATAGCTGTGTCTATTATCTGATACCGATCTACACATACAGACTTCATGAAACATTAATGTCCCAGCATCCTGACAGATGGGCTGCTGATAAACACGCATTTCGCTCCTCATAGTTTCTTTTTACACGATTTTCGACTCTACACCGTTTTAATAAGGGTGGAGTAAAAGTTGTTGGGTGAAAATGTAATTTTGTCGCCGTATTTCGAAGTGTCATATTCGTTGTGGTCGCGAAATGAGCTGCGATGTTTGTGTTGCGATGCGTTTCAAAGAAGTTTCTATGTATTTTTTTTATTTTGTAATTTCATAGGTTTTACAAAACACGTCCTATATTACCTTCTTTAAATCTTTTAGAGGGTGTTGTTCTAAAAAATCTCAGTGAGGTACAGCCCTAATTGACCTGGAGAGTTAGACTATGATTTATTCAAAACAATGTTATGTTAATGCGAGTTTTCCTCGCCCAACACACGAAGGTAAAAGCTGTGGACGTCCACAGCTTTTAAAATATTCATAAATTCATTAAATCGGTGGATTTTTTAAAAGAGAGACCTCCAAAATGATGTTTTGCATTAAGGATATTTTTCCTATATTATTTGTTTGTTTTTGTACCCGGTTTCCACTGTCTTGTACGACTGACAGTTACTCATATACCTATAAGGTTGTAAATTAATAATTACCAAAAATTAAACAGGCTCTTAGTTCAGCAGCAGACTGACAGAGCAGGGGACTGTCACAGGCTCTTAATAATGATGGATATGAGAGTACAATTATCTACCTCTATACTAATATTAGAGTTTGTTTTTTTGTTTGTTTGTTTGAACGCGCTAATCTTCGGAACTACAAGTCTGATTTGAATAATTCTTTTTGTGTTGGATAATGCATTTATCGAGGAAGGCTATAGGCTATAAAACGTCACGCTACGATCAATAGGAGCTGAGCAGAGCGTGTGAAACCGCGCGGAAAATATCTTTATGCAGAAAAATAATCAGAAAAATATTTTTATGCAGAGAGTCTACCAGAAATGTTGTCAGAATTTTAGTAAACTTTGGATATCCACGAATCTCGTGTTGGGCATAACACTTTTAAGATCTGTTTTTATAATAACTATCGTGAGACATACTAAATTAACTAAAATCGCGAGTTACTCACGTGAATATACTGAGAAAAGCTCCACTAGTTTCGAACCATAGAGGGGTTCTTCCTCATGAGCAGCGTGCGCGGTGAGTGAGCTGAGCGACATCGAAACTAGTGGAGCTTTTCTCAGTATATTCACGTGACTATCCGACGATTTTAGTTAGCTTTTAAGGTCTTTTATTAATAAATTCTTAATATCCTAGGGCTTTAAGACAACGTTATCTATTACTCGATTTAATAAAAATCGCCATCGCACTACTTTGCTCTCTGTCTATTCCTTCTTAACACAATAAGTGAGATATTACCAAAAAAAGTTCACACTACACATCTTTATACCTTCCAAACAACTCCTCTCTTGAATATATAGAACTCGTAAAAACAAAATATCTAAATCTCTTCACTTCCTCTACAAATAAAATTGTATTTCTATGCCTTGTTTTAACATACATAAATATCTAGTCAGTATAACACGCGTCTAAACATATACCTACTCGTGTCGCGGCCCGCTTCGCTGTAAAAACACTCTCTACTCGCGAGGACCCTTACTATGAGATCTCACACTCACTTGAGATCCACTCACTCATCTTATACTTGAGTTAAAAGTTCTTTTCTTCTGTAGCACTTCTACATTCTTTTATTTATAGCGTTTTTTAAATGAATAATAGATAAATAGTAAACTGATAAGCAATCGTAGTTAGGGTCGTAGTAAGATTGCTACGGCGTAGCATTGTCTACGAAATTTGCTACGAGGCTATGAATTTCGTAGATTTTAGGAACAAAGTACTCTTTGGTTTGTATGTTATGTTATTCGATATAGGTTTAGCTTATTACTTCCCACAAGTACTTACTGATATGCCTCCTGTGGATAACTACAAAAGATGCTTTTGAAGTTAGGTACCTTGCCTTTGTAAAAACAAAAGCTAAATATCAAATTATTTTAACATAAACAAAGTGAAGTTCATCTAGGCATTATCTTGAAGTTTAATCTCCAAGAGAATCTGAACTAGACAGTTCTGACGTGACATCAAACGGTTAACAAAGACAACTTGGCGAACCACGAGAAGCTATCTAAACCTGTAATAATATAATTCTCGTAGAATAATTTCCATTACAATTCAAGTGATCATCGTGACTTGAAACGAAACCTTTTTCGCGATAACAATTGAAAATTCAACGGGTAATTTTCATTTAAAATTTATGCCGTGTTATCTTCAGGTGACCCTCGCTGGCAAACTAAAGTGCACGTTGTCAAAGCCGGCACTCTATTATTGAGCATACATTTTTAAGCTGCGATAACACTATCGCGGGCTGGGTTACGTGGTAGGCCGGGCCACGTTATCGTCAGTTTCTGCATGAACGCGCCCGTTACGGCTCCCCCTTTTACTCCCCCTATCCTCATCCCCCACCACTCCCCCCAGCGATCCCGGTAGACGGCAACGGCGAGATTTTGACACTTGAGTATAATTTATTCGATCCTAAAATAGTTTATGTTATCTAGACCGGCGATATCTCGGGATTTAGGAGTCTGAAAACTTTCACAGGGGATGTTTGTTTGTAATTAATAAGGGTTTCATATTTCTACATATTTATCACTAATAATATGCATTCCATTTTGCCCAGGATAGGATACCACATTTCATTTCGGAGCAGGTTTGCCATATTTACATTTAAAATATTTGATATACATTCAAATGGTTTTCAGAATCAGACTTCATACAGAACGTGCATAATAGAACTAATGTTTTAATAACATTAACATTGTCGAGTACCTAGCTGTGTAAAATACAATTTTGCATTCACAATTTTGTAACTATTATCTCATTAGCTTTGTCATCGAATACAGTTACGTTGTGCCACGTAATCAGAAATTGTCACAGAAATGCATAACAAATTATGCTTATCCATGAATGTGGTATTAAAATAATAAATGACAAAGTGTGTTTATATGTTTATCTTTATATCACGTATTAATAAAGATGATTTTAAGACATTTAAGTGTAGGAGAGCCATGCTTCGGCACGAATGGGCCGGCTCGACCGGAGTGATACCACAGCCTCATAAAAAACCGACGTGAAACAACGCTTGCGTTGTGTTTCGTCGCGTGAGTGAGGTTACCGGAGTCCCCTTCCCCAATCTCCCCAATCCCTGAATCCTCAACGATCCTCAAACTCCTAATCCCCAAAAGGCCGGTAACGCACTTTGAACGCCTCTGGTGTTCCAGATGTCCATGGGCGACGCCGATTGCTTACCATCAGGTGATCCGTCTGTTCGTTTACCGGCTTATGCCATAAAAAAACATACATACATTTTTGTGTCAGGAAAAAGATCTGTTCATCTTGTAAATGGACACTGAATTCAGATCAATTAAGGAGACCTATGTTCAGCAGTTGACGTCTTGTGGTCAATTAGTAAAACTATGATGATGACAATTATTATGATGAAGATTTTAAAATGAAACTAGTGGAACGTTGTTTAGAATTTTTAAACTAAAAATTAACGACAGTTAGCCATTACTATTTACTTTTGTAGGTCAGTGTAGATCACTGGGAGGTAACTGCAATGCCAGCGGTGTTACCGGCCATTTTATTGCAACCACATAATGCTTAACCCTTTGAATACATCGATATGAAACACACTGCCTCGTTTGCCGAGTGGTCGCAATTGCGACCGGTAAGGCGTCTCGGGTTCGATTCCGGGGTCAGGCAAAGTATTATTGGGTTTTTAAAAAATCTCAGTAGTAGCGGAGTCTGGAACTGTGCCCGGTATATGGCAATAGGCTCACCCCCTATTACATGGGACTCATAACATAAATAGTGAAAAGTGGGTGTTACATTGTACAGTGGTATAATGTGCACCTCTGCCTACCCCTTCGAGGATAAAAGGCGTGATGTTATGTTTGAAACACAAAAGAAAATACATTGTGTCTCGCGTGGATCCACGTCTTAGACGCACGAAAGGTTAAAAGTATTTCCCGTTCAGAAGCACCTATAAATGACCCAAAACCACCGCAGCTATTCCTACAACCAGCTTAAAATAATCCCCTACAGAAACACTCCACCACAAAACTGAAACCCAAACAGTTATTATTCAAACTTTTAATCAAGCCTTCATAATTGAATCCCTCACTTTTGAATCTCCTAAAGTTGTGGGATAAGGCAAATTTACGACCGCAAACGAAGATTAGGATCGCAACTCGAATAAGTACTCGAATACTCGAATAAATTCTCGAAGTATCGACTCGTGTTTGTCGAATTAACTGGCGCTTGTTCACTTTGTCTTAGTAACTTTGGACTGGCAACCAAGCACGACTTCTTACTAAGTTTAATTCCTAAACATTATATAATAGATTAATAGAAGTGGTTGGAGTTACAAGTGGTGAGCTGTTTTGGTGAAACTGGCGTGGGAGATTTGTTCAGTTTTGATTTATTTGAAACTCAATTGTTGTATTAGTATGAACTGGCATATGGATTGAGTGGTTGCTGGGTGCAGATGTAGTTCTTTATATAAGGCATTCGGTTCTAAAATGATCTTAATTACTTAACAGATTAGTAGGTACAATAGGACTATTAAATGCTATCGAACAAAAAGTTCTATTTTTAATGTGTGTTGTTAAATGTTCCAATTTCAGAAATCCGCTTTAAAAATTGAATACACAACGTTACTTACCAGATTGAATTCATAAAAAAAGACAAGCATTATTCATTACTCTGACTTGTTTCACTAATATTCATCACTTCCCTATTAATTATTGACCTTTGTTCTCAGATGAGGAGCCCCTAGAAGGCCTGGAAGGTCTACATTCAGATGAAACGGGATCTGGAGATAATTCTAACGCAGGCTCCAGCGGTGCAGACGATGACGCCGCTCGGCTGCGGCTCAAGCGAAAACTGCAGCGGAATCGAACCAGCTTCACCAATGAACAGATTGATAGCTTGGAGAGAGGTATGTATAGAATGTATATTATCTTTATATAGAGGTATATAATTCTTCTGTGAGTGTGTATGTCACTGAACTTCTCTCAAACGACTGGACCGATTTTGATGAAAATTGTTGTGTGTGTTCAAGGGTATCTAGGAATGGTTTAGATTCACAAATCAACCCGGCAGATGGCGCTGCAGTCGATGTTTAGGTTATTTATCCTAAACAACTGACCTAATTTGAATGAATTTTTGTTTATACATTCAAGTGGGACCCTATTACATGGGACTCATAACTTAAATAGTGAAAAGTGAGTGCGATATTGTACAGGTGCATTAAGTGCCGTAATGTGCACCTCTGCCTACACCTTCGGGGATAGAGAGGCGTGATGTTATGTTATTTCTTCTAATGGATATTAAGCATACATTATTTTAAAACAAAAGGAACTTTATTCAAACCCTAAAAATCCTAAAGTAAAGTAAATACAGGATTTAAAAACTCTTCTTAAGATTACAGGATTAAATTAACCTACGCATCATCTTTACAGAATTCGAAAGAACTCACTACCCCGACGTGTTTGCTCGCGAGCGACTGGCTGCGAAGATAGGACTACCTGAAGCAAGAATACAGGTGAGTTTTGGAATCCTATGATATCTACTTTATGGTATTAACTATTAGCTTCTGTCACTTCACATGGGATGAAGTAGTACTACAAAATTCGCATTTATAATATACTAGCTTTTACCCGCGGCTTCGCTCGCGTCACAAAAGGATAAAAAATAGCCTATGTGACATATACCAATACACACAGCGCCATCTATATCAATAATTTCGTTTTCCCTCGAGAATATCAAATTTTACCGGGATAAAAAGTACCGGGCACAATACGGTATATGGCAATAGGCTCACCCCCTATTACATGGGACTCATAACATAAATAGTGAAAAGTGGGTGTTACATTGTACAGTGGTATAATGTGCACCTCTGCCTACCCCTTCGGGAATAAAAGGCGTGATGTTATGTTATGTGTAAAAAGTACCCTATTATTTAATCCAGACTTTTAACTTCACGCCTGCAAAAATTCAAAGCAATCGGTTTAGTAGTTACGGCGCGAAAGTGGAACAAACAAACTCACTTTCCGATTTATAATATTATAGTAAGGATAAGGATTATGATAGGAGAAGTAGGGTTATAGACTATCATAGAAACGCTTCCTGCATTCTTGTTATAACACTCTAATTACAAACACCTAGGAATCTATACCTAATTAATTGTAGGTTTACGTTGTAATTATATCGTTTAATACGTGGAATTCGTACGGTCGAGTGATTCAATTTGTTTAGGTACGTAGCTATGCCTGTGTCGGTGTCTTGGTACCTATTTTAGATGGCAACCGTGAAGATTTGTCATGAGAAAGTTTCACGTATAGGAATTCTTATTTTAATCGTACTTTCATAGGTTTCTTTAACTTTACTTTTTGTTTGCTTATTCTATTGCTAGGACTGATGATATGACAAGTGAATTGAGTAAAAATATGCGTACCTACTACTGGCTTACCACAAAATTGAAGTCTTCGGACATCTTCAGAAGCACATCATTTGTCATTATTATTATTTCCGTTCATTCATAAGCAATTCTCCTGTTCCATGCTTCTCGATTGTAGATCCCTTATCTATTCTTCAGAAACTATAATCATACTTAAAATGTTTCTTTTTGCTACTTACATCCCATTTTGGCTGAAAAGTCTTATCTACATTCCATTACAACATGAAAATTAGTATCATCAACAAGTGTGACGCCTTGTAACGATCCTAATTGCCCCGAGCGTAGCGCCTAGCGTCCGCGCTGTGTGTTAACTTAACCCGACCTTAAGGTGTGGTTCTCGAATCGGCGCGCGAAGTGGCGGCGCGAGGAGAAGATCAGGTCGCAGCGCCGCAGCCCCGAGTGCGGGTACAGTGGAACCGCGCCCCATGCGCCGGCGCATCCCACGCATCACCCGCCGCCTGCGCATCCTGCCCACCCTGCGCATCCCACACACCAACCGTATCAACCGCCGCTGAATGTTGATAGTTACAGGTGAGTGACAATTTAAATATCATTATTGTGTTTTTACATCCGTGAGTTTATTTGCGCACATAGCCAACAATTAATAAAAAAAAAATAGTAAAAGAGTGGTATTCCTCTCAATCTACGATTACTTACCCCTACAGAAACAAAATCCATCTTGATACGTGAAAATATACCCAGTTTCAGCACTTCGCACCATCCTTGATCCGCTAGAAATTGGCTCCAGCTAATTTAGAACAAACTACAACCTAATATGAGGTACCTAAGTTTACTTTTATTAAAACCTTGACCACAATTTCCAGTCCCCTAACTCCAATGGGCTACGGCGGCGGTATGGTGCCTGAGACCCCAGTGTGCGATACGACCGAGGCGGAGCTGTGTAAGAGTGGGTTTCTGGGGTACCCGCGCTACGAGCTGGGGTACCGGCAGCCGCCGCACCCGTATGTCAACCATCATGGCTACCAGCATGAACCGGCGTCGCCTCCACCAGGTATTTGGAACTAAGATATACCTTTTTTCTTAAAAGCGTTTTAATTTCACATTGTAGAATGTGTAAAGATGCTGAAGAGCTGTTGGCCGAGTGATCTTAAGTGATTCTAGAATAAATTTATTCAATTCCTCTTCAGTATCCAAATGAATGCTCAGTAGTTGCTACTACTGAGCATTATTGTAGACATGTATTGTATGTGATAATCAATAACTCACTATTTTATAGGACATAACATAATATCACGCCTTTTATCCCCGAAGGGGTGGGCAGAGATGCACATAATGCCACTGTACAAAGTAACACCCAGTTTTCACTATTTATGTTATGGGTCCCATGTAATAGGGGTGAGCCTATTACTATATACCGGGCACAATTCCAGACTCCGTGCTACTATTGAGGATTTCTTAAAAACCCAGCAATACTTTGCCCGGCCCGGGAATCGAACCCGAGACCCCTTGCCCGGCAGTCGCTCTGCAAGAGCCCTCGGCCAACGAGGCAGTCATCGAGGCATTTCATAGGGCTTACAACAAATTGCTTAAAAAAGCTCTTTAAAACTGAATTCGTGGATAACTTCTGGCCCTACTTCAATAATTCTAACAGCTGTATGCCGGAATACTGAAACGTTACTCAATTTTAAGTCGTGCTCAAATATCCAAATAAACAAAGAATCAAATATACAAAGAATTTGTAGAGATAGAACTATACTTAAGCACGACTTAAAATTGAGTAGCGTTTCAGTATTCCGACATCAATCTCATTATATTTTCTTTAATTCCATTTCAGAATTAGGTGGTCTTTTAGGTACTGGAGTGTCAGTGCCTCTCGCTGTGCCCGGGCAAGACTCACAGCAGTACTGGTCACGGCTCCAGTGACCCTGGTGGAACTAGCCGACGTCATAACACTATTCAATTACACCGCGACGAAATTCATCAGATAATCGGCCATTTTAAATTATTGTGTCAGTTTCAATAAAGATACCAGTGACTTGTGATTGTTTTTTGTGAAGTTATCCAGCGGATTCGATTGGACTTAGCTTTGAAATACTGATAATTCATAGATAAATAACAAACTCGGTGATGTGGTGTCAATATACCGTTTAATATAACAGAAAGGTTACACAGAATACTGTGAATTTTGCTTTTTGGATTCTTCTTGAGTTCTGATTAACAAAATAACCACAAAAACCACTAATGTGTTAATTATTCCCATAGATTTCGACACTCCTGTCGATACCAAAACAGCTTGTTATTAGATTGAACTAATTGGACCCCTTACGTCTCAATAGCGCCATCTCGTGAGCGCAAAACCAAAAAGCTTCATTACTAATCTTAGAGTATCCAACAAATATTCTAAGTTATTTTTCATTCCATTTACGAATGTACTCATATCTGTTGTAGTGCTTATGCGATCCTCCAAACAACAGTGATAAAATTAGATTTAAGAAAAGATCGGAAGGCGTGTGCCATAGAGAGTAAAACACCCTGAAATGTACTTTAGAAATATCTGTCTTATACTTGTATTTCTTTATTTATAGCTTTTTTTGTACTTTACGGTGATATTTTATTTTTATTATCATGAGATTAGAGAACAACTAAGAACACGTATAGTATAAAGAATTAACATATCCAACAGATGCCACAAAACAGGACTTGGAGCACAAAACATAGGCTCAAATTGTATTAAAATACATTAGAATATTTCATTCAAAACTTTATAATTATAAATCTTTAATAGATTTTTAGTATAATCGTTAACGATGCACATGTAATGTTGTATCTTTAGCTTACTTTGAATGAAATAATTTAATAAATCGATGTAAGTGTTAAAAATATTTTATTAAAAATTAGATAGTTAGCTAAGTTTAGAATTAAATAAGTATTTAATTGTGTATATTTGTTGTAAATGTTTAATTGATAATGCTGGCATAAATATTGTAAGAATTTTGCAACGTTTTGACAGATGTGGCTGAATACTTGTATTACCATTGCCTTCTATAGAAATAAAAAGCCATAGATACCGACCATAATGATTTTACAGTAAAGTTGTCTATAATTACAAACAGGATTTCATAATGGTCTAATTTATATAAAATCCCTTTAATATATTTGAACTCTTTCACTTAAAGTAGCGATGTAAATTTAGATTTTTTTATGAGAAACAGGGCTTGTTAGTTATAAGTGCGAATTGTAAATAGTTAATTTTGTGTAATTGTTCATTGTGATTATCCCTTTGTAAACCTAATGAGACCGCAGTGAAATTAAATACTGCATTCATTTAGGTACTTTGTTTAATGTCAGTAGCAATACTTACAATTTTAATGTTTTTGTCCTGAATTAGCTCCATTTGATATGAAAGGTAACTAGTTGATTTCAACCTGGATTGTATCTCTCAGCTTGTCTTAAAATAAAATTAGTTGCAGCACTAGTTTGGATCAACCTCAAGGAGTTAATTTCGAATTTACGATTAGTTTTTAATGTGTATATGTATTGATTATAAATAAAAATGTGAATAATTGTGTGATGTCGATGATACATTTTAATAACATTATATGAATACACTTTTGGATCAAAGTATTTGGTTGTTTTATTTGAGCCTAGTTGCGCCATCTGTGTGAAGAAAGTAGAATCAGGTTATTGAATAGTTTTCGGCCATTGTCCGGTTTGACGTTTCTTGTTTTGACGTTTCCTAATAACCGTGGCCATTTTTAAATTGTCTAAAAAACCGCCAATAAAATTGTTACATGATGTTAATGATTGCATTTATTTTTTATTCCTAATATGTTCAAAGTAAAACGGTCACGGTAATTAGGCAATTCAAACCGGAGAATGGCCGTTTCCATAATATTTCCTGGTGTCTAAATAAAAACAAAAGAACATAATAATTCAACATGACATTTCTTAATTTTAAGTGTTAGATCACCTGATGGAAAGTGATCACCGCAGCACCCATTTACACCAGCAACACCTGAGGTGTTACAATTGCGTTGTTGATCTTATATGAATAAAACTTCATCGTCTAGCAAATCACTATAATATTTTAAGTAATTTTCAATAAATTCAATTAAAGCTTTAAACACTACAGCAAAATATAAACATAAACAAACGCTTAATACGTATATTTACCTACCTCATAAGTCACACAAGTATTGCTTGTCAGTTTAAAATAAATTATAACTACTTAAATGTAGACGTTTTGAAAACCTAGCAATAAATATATTGCTCCTAACAACTTAAAGTCGAACTTTGTACGAGTTTTTTTACTTAAAGTAAATCCTAAATACTAAGAATAGTGAGAATCATAATTCTTCATTTAACAGACTGTCGATATCGTTTAAAATGCTAGTTTCTGTGCTGTCATTTTTGGTGTTCATTTGTTGGTGACAGCTGGCTACTACGTCGGGCATAACAGCATTTTTACTCAAGTCTAGGTCTAAATCTGAAGCAGTTATCTCACTATCATCTTGGTCCTCACTAAGATCTACTACATCTATAGGTTCACCTAGCCTAGTGGTCTCTAAATCTATAATCTCACTATCCGAATCAATCTTATCTAAATCTACTGAATTCATTTCATTTAACTCGACCCCTACTATTTGTACTTCAGAATCTGATTCATCTGTTTTATTTAAGTCTATGTCATCATATTTTGGTTCCTCTGTGCTTTTGTTTGAACTAGACAGTCTGTTCCTAATGAGTTTGGGTTTGGCAGTTTGTTCGTCAATCTTTATCCTCTTAAATTCGAAACAATTGTCCACGAGCTCATCTTCTTGTATTTCATAGACGTCGCTCTGTTCCGACAAAGTTCGTTTCCTATCATTAGCTTCATTATTTTGTTTTTGGTCGACTTTAGACTGATTAGAAACCGTAGGAGCATTGCGATCAAGTTTTTTGTAAACGATCGAGTTGCTTCTAACGACTTTGAGTATTTTATTGCCCGACGTAGTGATAGTCTCGTGTGTGGACAGCTTCCTCTTCCTACTCAGGTTGAGTGTGATAGGTTTACTGTGTATGATGGTATCGTTTTTCTTACGGGCTCTGATCTCTTCCAGGGAGAGCACCTTGAAGTCCAGTGAGGTGCGGCGCTCGGTGGGTTGCTTGGTACCTGCGAGCTCGTCGAGTGTGACGCGCTCGTACTTGGTGGCGAGGTTCGTGCGCACGATCTTGCGCTCCTTGTGTTCCGGCGGCGGCAGGCCCTCGTAGCTGTAGTACGCGGCCGCCTCCGCCTGTATTTTCTCGAGGAGCAACAACTCCTGCGACTTAGAGTTAACCACTTTGTTTGCGTCGTCCGGCGACACGGTTTTAGTGGGCGTGGAAGAGGGTGCGCTTTCATTATCCGACTCTGCAAGAACACACGAACGAACCGCTTAGTCGCGAGAATCAAAACTTTCCAAATGATTTTCGTAATTAATTTTGATGCGACCCGTCCGGCAACATTCGCGGTGTGTTCTTGTAAGGTCAATCTGAAAGCGACTCTCGAAGGGGGCGGTCAAAAATAATTACAAAAATCATATTACGAAACATTTTTATTTACTCGTTGGTATATTAAACACAATTTGATTAAACAAAGCCAAAGTATAATCTGTTCCGTTACGAGTTCCTATATCAGTTTGAATATTAGCTTAAACGAAAGGTACTAGACACGCGTTACTAATAATAAACATATTTTGAAATTCTTATTATAAAATAAGACTAAGATTAACATAACAACAACCCCGTATTATTTGAAACAAGAAAGTATCAGTAAATCAGTAGGCACTCGGTCCCACGTCACGGAACACAACGTGTAAGTATCAAAAGTGCTGCATTACTCATTTCATTACATTTACCTCACTTTCGCACACATATACAAATCTTAGAAAAACATTCGGATTTATAACCGATCGTGATCAAATGTGGATGACATGTTTGACCTCCGAAGTACGTTCAAATCCGTGCATTCATACCCTCCCTCCGTCAGCAGTCCATTAAATCAGCGAACACATAAATATAAAAAGCATCCCACATTCAACAAAATCGGTTAGTACAAAGTACAAACATAGTCTATGCCGACATCATTATGAAATGTCGTACGAGCGCTCCGGAGAACCACTTACAATATAATGTCTTACCAAGTCTTTTTTCTATTCATTTAATAATATAACTGCTGAATAGAATAAGGAAATAAGCAATTACGTAGATAAGTTAGCTCATAGATAGTGATTCGTTCCATAATCGCAGTACATTTCACAAAGACTCGAGCGCTGTCCGTGCGACAGAAATTTAACTGTCTAACATAAAACATTAACATTCCAACAATTAATCTAAGGGTAAATAAATAGTTTATTAGTATAAAAAGAGACAAGACTACAACATTATACTAAATATAAAATGTATTGCTACAGTTACGAGAGAAACCAATTTCATTTTTTTTTCAATAATTGCCTGTGGAAGCAACCACCCTTTGTACTAATTCATTCTAAAAATTATACTCCTACAAGTTTTCAGTACACATTTCCGCTAAATTTATATAAAACTTAAAATAATTTTATCTCCCTTTTTCAAGCGAACACTTTAAGAAATTTGAAAATATATTTTAAAAAACAAATGTTGTGTAAAATAATAACTGAGCATGTTAAACAATATAAGCAACCTCCGACTTAATCTATCCCCACCAATCGAGACTATTTAATATTGATAAATACTTTTATACATAAATAATGACTAGGCGTACCATGGACATAACGCAAACCGATTCATTTACTACCTGTCCTGTTCACATTTGCGATTTTGTAATAAATATAGGAACTTTACTCTCAGTGCAAAATATATATGAAATGAATCCTTTTCCCGGCAGAGTTACACAACAAATATATTTGAGTAATCGCGTTTAATAAACGTACCGATGTGCTATCGTAGTACTCGGTAAATCGGAAGCGTTATCAGACGTTACCAAAGACCGCAAAGCAAACGAATGCTCTTTTTTTGTTAGCTTATCTCTTTTTTTTTCTTTCTAAATTGGTAGTTATGATCTTAAGCACATTTTTTTTTTTAATGACGGAAATCACAGCCCCACATCTCTTGAATCATATAAAACTGTGCTTTCCGTGGTGTATACCTATAGATACATTTTTTTTTCATCATTTTATTAGCTCTATCTAAATCTCACGGTGCGAATATATAAGTATTGGGGGCAGGTAGCAGTGGATACCTTTATAAACTGCCAAAGCCCCTTAAAACATCCTACATACTAACATACAAACAATTTAAAGGCATAAAGCTGTTTTTTTTTTCTTTTTTTTTCACCTATATTAATGAGTTACAATAATCGTGTATATATATTTTTATTTGTATTTTATATGTTATTAAACCTATTTATTATGTACTTTTCTATCATAGACAAAGATTATATCAACATCTATTTAAAAAAAGTATTGCAGTGATATTTTGAGAGCAAACTCAAGGTTTTTTCTTAAAATATGACTGAAACTGTCTATCTATGTGATATAAATGTTATATAATGATACAGTAAATGAAAAAGCGAGAGATATTAATGAATCTAATTAGCTAAGATATGAAAGAGATTATATTCTCTAATTATTTATTGCACATACAAAAATACCAACGTCGCTTTTTCTCAATATTATTTTTTAATAAACGTGAGAAGAGAGCTATCGTAAATTCTTCGTGAGCCAAATATAATCTCACTTTGTTTAATCATTGTCTATGGTATAAAAAAACAGCTAAACATTGTCTAAGTTAGAGTCAACCAAAAAGCCGCCTCATCCGGCAACATAAAAAAACAATATTGTATTTAGTTAAATTAACCTTGGATCCAGTTTCAGAAGTTCTTCCCAAACTTTAAGTCCACTCCCGCCTCGCTAATATTGAATAAAAAATTGCGAAACTGAACCCAACTATAACTATACAATAAATACTATATTAATTGACTATTGACGAAATAAAAACAATAATAATACCTTCCAATAAACAGGTGTTAGTATGTCGCATCACGAACTGGGTGAACAAAACAAATGTATTTTCTTTCTACAAAAGTTAAAATTAATAAAGCGGCAAGTTAGGTGCCTCCCGCGTAAAAATATATAAAACAATAAATTCCCACTTCGCTAGCGACAATAAACGTAGGAAAAAATTCTTAACCAATAACATGTGAATAAAATAAATATATATATTTTTTAAAGTAATAAATCTAACACTTTTCTAGGTCGTTTTTTATACATAAATATTTTTATTGGCACAACAAAGGGTTGAATTCTAAAAATAATATTGAAACCCTTTCAATGCGACCTACGACCAACAATTTGACGTGGATCTAGTCAGCAGTGCCATATTAGTTTTAGTATACATAAGCATAGTGTTATATTTAGAAAACAAAAACAAAAAATGAGCGTTTGAATTTTAACATCGTTAATGCTTAACCCTACGCATACCGCCCATAACATGACAATGCAGAGTTTCCAACTACCGAATTATTACAATAATGCATGTCAGCCTCTCTGTCCATCGGAGCGTATCATCGAACACTATATCGATATCCTACGTATCGATTTTCCTTCCTATAAATTCTTCAAGTTGCGTTACAACAAGTATACAATTACTCAGTTAATGCGCAAAGCTTACACTGCGGTGGACAGTGAGCCCAACGTTACAATCACATCGTCATCAAGCGGTTGGCTCGAACATTAGACTTAGTGTCTGAGAGCCATGAAATCGATATTACGAGCATATATCTCTAAATGTCTATTGAAAACTCAAGTGCATTAGTACAATAGTATTATTAATTTTACGTTCGGCTACAAGATTCGCTGGTCACAATATTTGGAAAGACATCAAAATTACATACAGTCGACATATCAAAGTGTCCGCCTCCGTCGCGTATATAACGTTATATACTTCGTCGCTCACTCTCCAACTTGTATCAAATTATACATTTATTACGATTGCTTTTTATATCACATAAAATCATGACGCATAAAACTTGCTTGCAATCCAGTGCTCTTAAATAGAAAATTGTAAAGTACTATGCCACATATGGAGAATATTCGTATTACATAATAATATACTAGGAAACAATTCACCATCAAATAGCTTTACCCACTTTTTCCTTACTTTATCTTACATACACTGGTCCAAATTTAGTCCAATCTTATACTTTATTTTGATGGCTTTTCAAATTCGTAAGAGCAAATCGAGCCGTAAGCCCCAATCATACAATTTGAGAAGTCTGTTTGCTATCGCAGCTCATCGCTCGGTCATTGCTGGTTCACAATACTACTACAGCCCACCAATGACCCGAGTACTTTACTTCTAGAAGATTCCATTATATAAAGTGCCACATCACCACTGTGGTAGCTTTATCAAGACAACCGTACTTCCATCATTTAACAGTTTTACAGAAATACTTTACTTCTATAAATACTCACACATTTTCTATCAATCAGTTCCTTCCTATCAGTCACACAACCCTTGCTTTGTCAGCAGCGATCGTAATTTCACATCGAATTTCCTATTCAATTTTTTTCTTACGGGACCGTTCCTAAGTGTTCTTAAAAGAATAATTACGTTAGTTTCCTACACCAACATAAGTTGACCGTGTTAGGGATTGCTTAATTCGAGACTTTGGCCTCTTAGCAACACAACTTCGAGTGAAGTATAGCTGCCGTACAACGAACATCAATATTAACACCGAACACAACCAAGACTTGTAGTGAACGGGTCCCGGACGGTTGTGTTGAGACTGGAATCTTCTAGAACTTGGCTGTGGTGTTAGATAGGTAGATAGCGAGTGATCGAGTTCTCAAATCGTCTGGAGGGGGCTTAGTACATGTAGTTTCAGTATAGGCGCATACCTTCTTCGAAGTTCACAACGAGGGGGTCGACAGGCATGGGCGCGTACGGGTTGGCGGGCTGCTCGTGCGCGTGCGGCGGCAGCACTCGGCGCCCGCTCAGCAGCTCGCTGGACGCCGGCAGCACGCCCAGGATCGCGGAGTCCAGCACCACTGCTGGGGGAACCACTGCTTGTATTTGTATCGGGATACTCAGTTTGTTTAAGTCGTTTTAGTTTTTATTTTATACTGTCTAATATGAAGGGGTAATTCAATACTTTTTGCCAATTGTCACTTTGTTGTTTACTAAATATTATTTATGTACAAGACTATTTCACATCATGAGTATGTTATAGCTTTCTGCATCAAACAATGCTTTATAAAGTGACGAAACATTGCAATTACATTTACCGTAGTGTCAAAATGTACATCACAAAAACCCAGTAGATTCACAACAGATATGAATCATTTACCTAGCATTGAAAACTATGTCTTGCGTGTTACATTCGTACGGCACGCACATTGGATTTCGTATAACTTAATGTAAACTCGAATTGTTATAAACATAATATACACAACTTTTCCCATGGGACTGTACCGCGTCATGAAGTAGAAATCTGATATAATCTATAATTGTATTCGTGTACTAGGCAGGTTTATTTATTACTCATTCTGATTGTCTGCTTGTTGCTTGCAACCAGGTTTAAAAATTATATCTATCATAGACTAAAATACAAAATTACCAACACCAATTTGAGACTCAAATTGAAAGTGAATTTTTAAACCATGCCACTGTTCTCAAGTAATAAAAATCCTGATTATAACAAAGATATTAACCATAACAATCCTTTAAAATATTAAATAGATAGAAAATAATTTTAAAGTATTTTAGAACTAGAGATTTGATTCGTTCATTCGTTCTTTCTTGATTTCTGGATTGATGAATCGGGATTCTGTCAATGGAATGTTTCTTAAATTTATCCAGCTTAATTATAAGTTTTACAAGTTACCTTGGCGCTGTTGCTGCCACAGCAGTGGCACGGGTGCGGGCGCGGGCACGGGGGCGGCGACGCCTCCCATCGGGGGCTGCTCCGCGGACACGGGCTCCGGTACGTTCACCGACGTCGGCACCTGCTATTTGGAACGACAAAACACTTTACTAATAGAACTAAAGTCATAATTATCGACCAAAAACCAAAGCAAAACCCTTTTATACTGACTGAAATGATCTTACTGAATTATGAAATGGCTATAAGCCTACAAACTGTTAGGTTAGAACACTAACTAATAACAAAGTTAAATTCTCGCTTCAAGCTAAAATGGGACTTAATGACTCAAAGGTTAAATAATGGGGCTAGTAGTAAAAGCAAACCTTTTTAAATTAATTAATATGGATAAATCTAACGATTATGATTATGAAAGTTAAGAGATGATTAAAATCCTCAATGTTACCACAAATCATTACAAAGATAAGTAATATGAAAAACAAAATGGGTTTATTTACAAAAAAAAGTTAATAATTTCAAATCAGATACACACCATGCCTTGTTTAGTAGCCAGGAAAGCTTTCGAGGGTGACACTTTGACAGTATTGAACTCAACATTCAATACATGGTCAAAGATATAGAAAAATAGAACATGATATAAGTAAATAAGGTTTATTTTAGTATTTATATCACCCCTGAAAGTTTTCCTAGGTTCTTAGTAAAAAAGGCACCGTGTATGGCGTGTAATGTATGTGTTGTCTCACGGGGGGAGGCGGCGCCGGCTGGCTAGGCGCGATACCGTCGGTGCGCGCATCCGGGTTCTTGTGCATGAATGGACAGTGCATCTTACGACACCCGCCAGGCTGGTTCTCCCAATAGCATGGGATCTGCTTGCGGTTTTTCTATAAACAATTTATTATAACATATTTAATTATAGATTAGTTCTTGACAACACAGCCTGGTATCTGCTGCTCGGACAGAGAAAACACCATGCCATGTTTGCTTACAAACTGCTTGTTAAGGATGATTGTAGTCTGCTGAAATAAATTAAACTTATTACTTTATCTAAACTACTGATTTGACTGGAAGACTACATTTAGAGAATACAAACGGCAACGTCATACTGATCAGTTCTGCAAGACGAGGTCAAAACACAGTCATTCCTTTGCAATTTCAAAATTCCCAAGTCATTTCAGACATTTGGTAAACTGACGTCATATCAGTCCTATCATATAACGTAAACGTAATTTACTGCAAAAGCTTAAGATAAAGAATATTGCCTCACATGATATAATTGTTATCGATAAAACATCGTGCATATCTTGAAATGTATGTTACAATAATCACTAGGCCACCTTACTGAACTAGTAATGAAAAACCTGACCTTTGATTGAGAAATCTAATAATTAAAATGTCAGCAGACTAACGTTCATGTAATGTATGATATTAAAAATAAAATGGCTATTGCAAATAGCTGTAATAAACTGTAATTACATACATACATCCATTTTTTTATGCTAGACATACAAATTAGGGTTTAAACTCGATCCATTATGTTAGTTATAAAATAAATTGACTGTGAAATCTACTACCCAATGTAATTCGAGTCAAAACATTTATGTTCTCATGTATGTTATTAGAACAAATCTGTAATTCTCTGTTCTTCTGCCAATCGCACAAATAGATTGATATAGGAATCAAACCTGCATCAGATTGTGCAGCAACTGGTTGCAGAGTCAGTCATGTCAAATTCTTTCTACAATATCAGTCTTAATGTTTCTAGATTTTTATTCACTTCCTCTATTAAAATATGCTTAACGTCTAAGAAACTCAATGATTGGTCAAACTTGCAAAAATCTAAACGCTTGATAACCAATAGAGTAATTTGTAGTGCTAACAACACAAAAGCAAATACAATTTGCACAGCTGATCACATATTTCATAGATTTACGTAAACACACAATCCTACAGTCAGCACTCTTACTTAACAAAATAAATTAGAAAATACAATCACATTTAATCCGTTTACATGTGGTATTTTAAGAGGTTTTGAAAACGACATGCATATAACATGAATGTTTTATGGTACGTAAAAACTTGCATGGTATTTATTTTATACAAGAATTAACACTATTATTAACTACTTGAATGACCACAGAATTTAGTGTTGATAATGAAAACTGTAAAAGATTTTAATACCATGTTAAATACCATGCAATGAAATACATTATACTATATTCTACTATATCTTAATAGGTACAAACTGGTTTATTTAGATTTCTAGACACACCTTAAAACACTAGATTGTATGTCTAAAATATTAAAAAGTTATTGATTTATGGTTTATCAACAAATTGATTTATGCTAGTTGGGAATGTGTATAAATAACACATACTCCCTCTCTACCTACATAAATGAAATACTATAAAGGACAAACAAAAATGTACACAAGATCATAGTATACAAAGTAGATTTTGGTCTGTATTCTAAGTTGGACTTACCCTCAGTTCCATGTGACGTAATTTGCAGCGTTTATCAAGACACTTGCCCTGCTGCCAAGCTGTACACATTGTTTCGCATCCTAGTGCCGATGGTTCGTGACGGAACACACAGTTGTCCCCCTGAATAACAAATAAAATAACATATTCAATATCTTAAACTTACAATCATATGCTTCACTTAATAACTACAGGTGAATTGTTATTGTATGTTTGGAATTTATATTAATAACTCAAAAACACAATCTCTAAAAGAATTTACAACTAAAATGGAAATATGACTTGCATTAGCATAAATGCAACTTTGACACACCCTGAGTTGTGGTATTTATTTTGCATGTTTTGTAACAATTTCATCAAGATAGCTTTTAGAATTGCAATATGCAACTTGTGTAACATGGTATTTCTTCAGCAGATTTTGACAGCAAAACTAGTTTGGTGACTTCCATAAATGTGCTTTTTTCTAATCATAGATTGGTTAACAGCTGTAATATATCTCACATAACTTCCTCAAGATCATCATGTCCAAAACAGAAAGTCTAGAAACATTTTACAATCCACTGACATTATTTTAGCCAGCATGCACAAAAGGTCATCCATGCTAATTTTACCTTTCAAATACTCTAGATTAATTGTAAAATATGGTACCAATGTAATGTAATAATTTTATACAAAATTTGAGTTATTTTACATGGATTTACTGAATGTCAATAAAACATTCTAACCATAAAATATTGTTTGAAACACTACATAACACGTTAGCTTCCATCATTTTTATCAGACAATCAGAATATAAACAATATGACATTAGGACTTACAATTTTGTTAGGAAATATAATTACCAATATTTTCTTACCTTCGTGCATGTGGAGTAGTAGTAAAAATAACAATCGTTGAATTTCCGTGGAGACTCCATGGTGTTTTCCGCCTTCGAGGGTCTGTGAAATATTGGGTACACCGTCTAATAATGCCGACACCAAAAAAAATTGTATTACTCAACAGGCACCGCTAAACGCTACAAAATACGTCACGACTGTAATGTAGTGGATCCAATTTATAAATAACACATACAAGAAGGCTGTAGTTACGTTAAAACTAAGATTTTTCCATTTTGACAATACGTAAAGCACGGCGCGGACAAACAAGTTCCAAATTAAAAACTATCAATATGTCAGATCCAGATTGCACACTTACTCACCGCGTATTAGATAAACTAAAAAAATAATTAAATTATACAACGAATATCTACACAATAACGCTATCTAACACAAAATAATATGAACGTCACTATTAGAAAGAAGATGTAGTAGATATGGCGGACATGTGGCGGACTTTCATTTCGTTTCGTCCGCCCCACCGTTTGATTGGTTGATCACTTGTCTATTTTGTGCCATAGACAATATTTTTACTTTTTCGTGGTATTCGAGATCATAGAAGTATAGGCGCAGATTTTAAATAAAAATTAAATACTGATCTCAAACTGAACTAACGCTTTCGAAAGCTGATATTAAATTTGTCAATAATAATGGAAATAAATTTAAATATTGTTTAAACAGGTGTATCCAATAGTTGGTCAATGTCAGTCTAATGGAGTAATGGCAGTTTTTGCATTCGACAACGGCTTTCAATGCAAAGTGAAATCTGAGTATTATTGCGAACTATTTTATAGTTGGCAAAATAGTTGGCTTTTCCTTTCATTAATTAATAAAAATTATTTTAGCTCTAAGATAATCGTATGGATAGGAATATTATTTAAGAAATATTCAACCACTTACTTACATTAGTTTTAAATGTACTAGCAGCCCGCTCAGCACTCAGGTCTTTCACAGGTATATTATTATTCCCAGGCTTTCTTCATTAATTTATTTTTTACAAGCGCGAACACTACAATGAACGAATTATCCGATGATAACGATGTTTCTTCTTATATATTCAGATAAGAAATGCCAAGCAAATCAATAGGTAGTTTTTAAGTAAACAACTTAATTAGTTATTGCAACCTGCTATTAGCAAAATAATGCCATTAAAATGTAATTTAGCGTAATCATATTAGTTAAGTACGCTATTAATAAAATCTAATGGCTCAGGAATCTTCGGGAATGCATAGGCCACGTGTTGTATTGTATTTAATTAAGAAAACTACGAAATATAATTAAGTAAATTAATCTTCTTCGACATTCTCGTCTGAGGTCAATAGTTATTGATTTTGGGACGCTACAAAGTTAACCGGGACAGTATATAATAGATGAACTGCACCGTGCAACGTGTCGGGGTTGGGACGGGAATGAAGTTCAAGAACCTTTGTCCTTTACTTAGTACTCGTCTGCGCAAGCCTCGATACCTAGAATACCTACACACTATAATATCAGTGTGGGCGTGGATTGAATCGATCTGTCATCTTGTGAACTTGCAGGGTGTTATTTGATGTTTTAGCTATATCTAATAAATCGCAAACGCTACTCCTAGGTAGGCAGTTTAACTGCCTACCTAGAAGTAGCGTTTGTAGTATACTAAGATAGCTGAATGGGTGTGCTGAACACAGCATGCTCATTCATCATCTTGTCATTGTTATATTTAATAAGGGTACAAGCCCAATTAAAAAAAAATTTAGAATTTCCAGCACGGACTAATAATATTTATCGTCCAGTGAATAGTTTGATGTAGGTAATCGCGAGTAAGCCTTTGCCCAATTGCCCATATACAGGGCACAATCGTAGTTGATGTAACTGAGAATAACCGAAGGCCGATATCAAATCAACCCCGGAATCGAACTCGGGACCTTTGTTCTGCAGTGACAGGGACGCTAGCGATATCTCAACTAACGAGATTAAAAATTACGAGAAAATGTTTCTTTGCCCGAATGGACAAGTGGTCACAAATCCGGACTTCCGAGTTCGATTCCAGTAAAATATATTTTGTCTAATATTTTGAAAAATTAATGATTCTCCATATAATTTTACTTGACCTGACTTTAAAACTAGTTTTCGTGTTATTCTACGTAATTAGAAAAGGCAGTACCTATACTTTGGACAAACATTTGTCATCACAGTTGAGTAATACAACTAAAAAAGCCATTCTGTTCCATGATGACATTGATAGCAAATGAACTCACGTCCAATTATTGAGGTTTTCTTGGGATTCCTAAGATAAGTGGCGAAAAGTTTTTCCACATAAAAAATGTGCTCCCCTGACAACCATCGTGAATTAAAAGCCGTCATATTATTTTAGATTGTAAATTTAAATGTGGGAGAGCCATACTTCGGCAGGAATGGACCGAATCGACCGGAGTGATACCACGGCCTCACAGAAAACCGACGTGAAACAACGCTTGCGTTGTGTTTCGTCATATGTGTGAGGTTACCGGAGGCTCAATCCGCAATTTCCTCATCCCCAAAAAGCAGCAAAAGGAGCAGTCATTCGATGATTTTCCCCCCTTAAAAAAAAAGTGTTGCACAAGTGGTGTACATGGGTGACGCCGATTGCTTAACATCAGGTGAACCGTCTGTTCGTTTACCGTTTCAAACCGTAAAAAAAAACCAGGCAACAGTCGAAAATTCAATCGAAAACGATGTTCAGTGTTGTATGCACTTTATTATCATTAATATTACATCATGATTTAAACATTAATTTACATAATACAATAAATAAATGCTCACAATAATCAATATGAAGTCATGTTTAAAAAGCGAATGTTTTATACTAAAGACAATCATAGAAATTAACCTAATTTAACGAATCAGAAATTGGAATCAACATGTATCAAATAAAATGAATTCTAAACTTGAATAATAACAAATCTACGGGTCCTAGTTTCCATACAGTATATTGAATAGGAATCGTAAAATAGTGAGTTCCTTATCTATAAGCGATTCGAATATTTTTTACACATATCGAGTACATTGTTTTCTTTATAATACGTTATGAAACTATAATAAACTCATACTACAGAGTCAATTAACATGAAATTAATAACTTTAAACCTTGAATAGTTCATCTTTCATTATCATTTCACTTAACAATTTAGAGTTCAATACTCTTCAAAGGCATTTTTACATTTACATTCAATAACGACAACATCAATTTGAAATTGTGTTTCAAAACTGGTTTTTTCACTAGTATCCAAGTTATAATGAGGTATGGTGAATGAATGAATGGTATATAAATAGTTTGATGACAATGGACATACAATTTGGTACACAAAAATCCAATACTGGGAGGAATGTATCGATAATCTCAGGTTATATGAACTTGGGTACTAAAATATATTAATTATGGCCTCATCTCAGCTCTAACAAGTTTTCTAACAAACCTACTGGATGACGACTGGTCGCGCATCTGTAACTTAACACTCCAAACAAACTCTTCAATTCAAACAATCAATCATTGAGTTAATAAAGAAACAAAATTGTAAGGTGACTCGAGCAGTTGTTGGGTAACAAGAAAGCATTCTTATAGGGGACTCACGTAAAAATAGTGTACTTTATTATGCTGTAAATCTATCTTTCATGTCCTCCAACAAACCACTCGTTTCACACTCGACGAGTATTGCATGAAACATAGCAACCTCTAAACACAAACAAACACAAAAACTCAACACAAATCCAATATAAAAAATACATACAAAATTAACTTATACAACATGTTAATAGTATAATAAGATACCTATATACATCAATAATAGTTTTCAAATTCAATGAAAACTACATTGAACAATGATAGATACAAAACTAGAGTCAATGTATTCTCTATGGCTATTTAGCATCATTTTAATGGGGGCTACCGATATTTTGTTCACCTAATAGCGCTAATCTAAGCGAGAACGTCCAATGGTGTAACATGAGCTAATCCCCTATTGAACAAAGAACGAGATACCCACACTAGCGACATCTGGTAGTGAAAAAAAGGTAGCCCCCATTATTAATTAAACATTGATTATTGTATGGATTGGCTAAAGTATACGTATTACGTTTTAAATGGCTACTTCGTTATCATATTACAAATACTAACATTATATGCCGTTAAAGTAATTTCGTTTATACACTGAGAATTTAAGTTAATACACCACAGATTTTAGTACCATACGATTCTATAAAATTTATTTCTAAACAATTGTGTTAGATATTCAATAAAACTGAAAAACTTCCTTTATATGATTGAAGCAATCTATGTACTCCAGAAAACATATTATATAGTAAAATAATAATGATTTCGTTTTAAATTAGCAGTAAAGTATATTATGCCTTTTAATCCTAAGTATGGATCCTGAATGGGGCACAACTGCTTACAGTACAAAATGACATGATTCGTTCAAAAAACTGCGACACACATATTGAAAAACAAATGATTGTGTGACAAGCGAGCCAAATTACGCGCTATTTTAACGAAGATATCGATATTCAGTAGTTATTTTGTCAACTAACTTGTAACATATACAATACAGGACAACTTTTAACCGTTTGTATAACCGGTTTTATAGTCACAGAATTATCGAAACGTTAAAGTGTTTAGACCCCGGAGGGCCAAGCACGAATAACTATCGCATTCGTATCGTAACAGTATCGAGCGAGTTGAGCGTTCTGATTGGTTGGTTCACTTGAGCCAGCCAATCAGAGCGCCGAACGCGCTCGATACTATTACGCTACGAATGCGATAGTTATTCGTGCGTGCCACTCTGATTGGTCGGTTCATTGAAGCAGGACAAACTGACGGAGGCAGATTTAAAAATACTATCTTATGTAAAACGTTGCGTTGCCTGTAGAAGCATAAACTCTTCGAAACTTTGTCTGGAAAACGATAAAGCTATGGTTCTTGCGTTCCTAAGCGCTCTTGTTTACTACTCCGTGAAAGTGCGATGATAAGTGCAATCATGTAATGAAACACACTGTGAGATGATTATTAATATCTGTGAACATTATTATTATACTGTAATCAACGCGCCTATTATGGTTTGGTAGTAATACCAGTACCACATAACAGTGGCCCAGATGTCATGTCTTTTCTCAACTTATCTTTGGGTATTTTCCTTTTATAGTTTACTTTTGAATAACACAGGATGTACTTAATTTTCAAACCTATTACACACTTAATTTTACGTTAAATATTTTAACTGTAGATTATCCATTCTTATTATTTTCCTACCAACGAATAAAACTTCTCTGGTTTACACAAAACAAGTTGCTGGAGTTATGATTTTAAAATTGTTAGTTACTGTTAGTTTTTCCATTAAAAACTTTGTCGGTGACTATCATTGTATCAATTCCATACATACAATACGAATATTAATTAACTCACCATGATAACAGTTAGCTAATTTGCTAAATTCTTGTTTAATACACAATCATTAAAATGCAATCAACAAGTTAATGTGCCTAGCAAATTAGCAAACTATTACTATTAAGCTATGAATTCAAACCACGAATCATTGACTACATAACAATGTTCAAGATAGTTGAATTTTATCCTAACCAAACAACAATATGACCCCTTACCGAGACACAAGTTCACAATACATGAAGCGTTATACCCTGTGCAAGGCGATACTGAAACTATATTGTCATGTTCACTCAGTAAGGGATCGATGGACGCTACCTCGGAACACGCATAGGCCTAGTCTTAGATTACATGAGATGATATTCTAAAAAAATGAGATTTAAATCGTTCGAGTTATTTCAGGCAAGACGAAGAAGCTTTTAAAGTATATGAGAGTGTATTAATTAGTCGAATAGTTGATTCAAATCGACTAGTTGTTCGATGATCACTCTACAAGTGTCGCGTTATAGTGCTAGTAAATCGATGATGTATATGAGAGAGCTAACAATTCCGTGTATGGTGCGAGTGTGATCTTATCTCTTGGAGGAGCTCTTGATTTGTTGCAGCTTCAGGCGTAATGCGTCTACTTCCGCTTCGTTCCGTTGTGATAGCGTCTGTGTTGTGTGTAGCTGGAAAGAAAAAAAATTGTCAGTATAAGAAAAATAATGCAAGACTAGTTAGAAAAATAGACTGTGGTGTGATTAGAGTTCTACTCTCCATCGGTAAGCATTTTTGACTATCTTTTCAAACACGTGTTTTTCAACATCAACAACGTTGAAAAATGAAACAGTTAAATTGTTTATTTCCACCGACTTTAACAAGGAGCAGTTTCCCAATACAGAATTGAGAACCTGTTCCTTCCGTCCGGTACGTTTTTAAATTAATAAGTTGATACTTGGTACTCACGTCAAGTTGTGGATCGATACTGTGTGTTCGCGACAATGTGTTCTCGTTGATGGAGTCGACTAGTGTTCGATTGTCGCCTATCGGTGTACGAGGCTGTGACGATGGTGATGACTCTGTTTTTAAACCGGCTTTGGCCTGCAAATAAACATTTTTATGTATTTATTAATTATTGTTAGATCCCCAATCCTAGAATCCCCAATAATCCTCAAATTCCTGATCACCAAAAGGCCGGTAACACACTCGTAACATCTCTGGTGTTCCAGGTGACCATTGGCGGCGCCGGTTGCTTACCATCAGGTGATCCGTCTGCTCGTTTACCGGCTAATTTCAAAACAATAAAATATTTGGCATTCATTCGACAAAACTTAAGGGAAGTCACTTATTATAAGAAAAGTGTTAACATAAAAGGATACAAACCTGCAAAGCTCGAAGTCTCTCTAAGAATATCACATGTGATTTTTCGTCGTTTTCATTACTTATGTCTGTAAAAAACAAAGAATTCATTATTATGTATAAGTTTTTCAAAAGAAAAATGTTTTAAGTCTATAAACTATAAGTGATAAGATGATAAACCTTATTAGTGTAGCTTACAGACTTGATTAGCGGTTGTTACTTCAATTTTGTGGGATCACACAAAATTGGCCAGTTTCCTGGGTCAAAAATAAATTATTTAGATTTTTCAGTCCAATTAAATATCGTAAAATAGTTACACTTTCATTCGTTGATTTGCCGAAATACTTAATTTTCGATTTATCCTAGCATTTTTTTAGATATAAGTGTGTTATTTGACGCGAAAATATGATGACGTCATAAGATAGTATTTTGTACAAAATTCATAGAACGGTATCGTTTTTGACGTTTCGATAAAAGTATTAAATCTGACTAGTTGTCAACTACCGTATTGTCTTCAAAGTCTACTCAAGGATAAGTTACACTTACTGTTGTATAAAGCTAGCACAGTGCATGTTTCACATTCCAAACAGTTACTCACCAATATTATCAGACTTGTAGTCGTGTTTGTATATAGGCATAGAGGCGAGTTTCCTCTGCTCGGCCACCTCGCGCAACCCCCTCTCCACGTAGTTGCGGAAGTAGAACGATGAACCTTGCATGAACGTCCAGATGTCTACTTCTGGGTGACGCTCCTAGAAAAGAGATAAATATAATTGTTACATGTGATATGACTAAATCTGGGTTTATTCCACTTTGTTCACCTGGGTGATTTCACCTAGGTGAACAAAGTAGACTTTTTGGAGTCCTCAATTCACCTGGGAATTATTTCACCCAGGTGACATCACCTAGGTGAATTGAGTTGACTCAAGTAGTCTCCTTTGTTCACTTGTCAATTTAATTCACCCAGGTGCACAAAGGCGACTTTTTACTTTTACGTTGTGGACTTATATCACCTACCTACCTTACATCAAGTTAAATAAAAACTTTCAATTTAACATACATTTTAATATGTTCAAATATCAGATTAATGTTAGTCTATTACACATGCAAAAATATGCGGGCAACCTAACATTCGACAAACTTATATTTGCGGTTGGTACAGTAAGTGTGCCTAGGGATTGAGCCGCACAATTAAGGTTGTTAATGTATTTCATGTATAAGTTTGGTGTTTCTATACCGATTTCTATGATTATTTTTTTATTGAATAGGTAATAATATATACTTTTTAATTATGGATGAGTGATAGTATTATAAAAGTAAGACTAAACAAATATAAGCAGAAAGCTCGAAACTCCTAACCTTTCGTGGGTTACACGTGTTTTTGTGAGTCAACCATAAAAGATAAACATATGCTGTTCTGAAATATTATTTAGATAATTTTGTGAAAATATTTCCGTCATACATGATTTCTATGTAGATTTAACCAATAAGGCTGCACACGCGACGGAAGCTTAAAATGGATTAACTTTTCCCTTTCATTGATTGTACCGTGATGGAAGTATACTTTAACTTCCCCAGGAGTATGAAGAATGATTTAACCAAGCTTCGTTAAAATCCGTCGAGTAGTCTTTTCTACAGGCAGACAGACAAAAATTTTAGTGTATGCATTTTTGGCATTACTTAGTAGCAATCACCCCCTGATAATTTTGGAAATATATTTCGTTATAGCGGCACCGCAAAGTAGGTACACTTCAATGAACATTTAGGCGGATTTTCAGACCACATGTAGAAATAAAATTTCGTTCGTAATTATACCCAGTGTACAGTGGAACTCCTAGTGTAGTGTGAGAAAATGTGATATGTTTTTGTATGTGTAATAGACCAACATTAATCTGATATTTGAACATATTAAAATGTATGTTAAATTGAAAGTTTTTATTTAACTCGATGTAAGGTAGGTAGGTGATATAAGTCTACAACGTAAAAGTAAAAAGTCGCCTTTGTGCACCTGGGTGAATTAAATTGACAAGTGAACAAAGGAGACTACTTGAGTCAACTCAATTCACCTAGGTGATATCACCTGGGTGAAATAATTCCCAGGTGAATTGAGGACTCCAAAAAGTCTACTTTGTTCACCTAGGTGAAATCACCCAGGTGAACAAAGTGGAATAAACCTAAATCTGTATGCTTCAGGCCTTTAGCCAAACGCCACTTTAGTACTTGTCTACAGAGAGAGTAGAAAACTAAATGTATGGGGATGACACTGATAAGTATCAAAATTTACGTCAATCTCATATAATTTGGTTTTCTATTCTACATGTAGACAACCGCTAAGTGGCATTTGTCTACAGCTGCAGATGTGTGATGCAGAGGAACCCGTAATAGTTTAATGGAATATTGCAAAATTTATTTGTGTGCAAGTTAGAAGTAAGTCTAAACTTAGTTATGGTAGATAGGTGTGTTGGAAAACTCAGGTAACAGTTTTGAAATGTGAATTAAAATAATTTTGATGGCAGGAATAAGAATGGCTGTAATGAAGGCTGGATTCAATATAAGATTATTACATCTGATAAAAGAAAAAACGAAAGAAAAGTTGGGACCAACGATAACAAACCACAGAAAAAGGAAGAAGTCTCATTTAACTACTATAAACACTTACCCGCAAATCATACAGCTGTGACAAGGCGTCCTTATTATGCTCCTTGGTGCCGATCCTCTTCAATATGAGCGCCAGTTCTTCATGAACAGCCCGAGGTAATCTGCCGGCAGCCAGGGCGGCGTTGTTAGGTGGTACTGACGCGAGGACTGAACCACCGTTTAGAGCGTCTGGCGTGTTCTCCTTTTTCTCGTCCAGTTTTAATTGCTAAAACACAATATTTAAATCATAAATTAACTTAGCAAGGGCTTCGTTCGTGTGGGTGATAACACCTAACAGTATTTTAAGATTAACCCTTTGAGTACCGTCATTATAGACACAATTAAAGAACAAAAGGTGTGCGGACACCACTGTCCTCGCGATGTTTGACAGTTTAAGACTAAAAGGTGCTGCTCAACCATTTCGTTTAGGTAGAATAAACTCAGTTTCGGCGACAGTGCCAGAGGAGTTTCCAAAAAAATAACCGTATTGACGACTGAAATAATTATTTTGATTAATCTAACGAAGTCAAAGTGATAAAGAGGAATATTTAGCAACATTTACCTTGAGAACTTTGAGTAGGTAGGGATAGAGGTCAGATTCGTTGACATCTGGTATTTGTGTTAGATGGTTTGTGATCGAGCTTCCCTTCATTTTGACTAGAGTGTGCACCAATGTTTTTACTGTCCTGTAAAATAGAAATAGATAAACTTTATTGTATGGCCCTTAAAGAAAAATTCAAATTAAGCTACAATGAGCTCTACTTGCAGCTAAGTAAAGCTTAGTTTCGTGTGAAAATATAAAATTTAGCTGTTAAGTTTTATTTTATTTACTCATATAATTTAAACTGACTGCCTCATTGGCCGAGTGGTCGCAAGTGCGACTCCGGGCAAGGGGTCTCGGGTTCGATTCCCGGGTCGGGCAAATTATTACAGGGTTTTAAAAAAAATCTCAGTAGTAGCACGGAGTCTGGAATTGTGCCCGGTGTATGGCAATAGGCTCACCCCCTATTACGTGGGACTCATAACATTAATAGTGAAAACTGGGTGATACATTGTAGTGGCATAATGTGCACCTCTGCCTACGCCTTCGGGGATAAAAAGCGTGAAGTTATATTATAATTTAAACCCACATGAACTATAAAATGGGGCAAATAAGGCTTACTATACAATAAAATTAGTATTTTCCCGAAATGTTTTCTTTAGGCCAGATTTTCCTAACAAGATTTGAACACTAATCTACCAATAATAAAGTTCATTTTCCAATATTACATACCTGTACGGTGTATCACTGATATCCGGGTTCTTCTTCCAATAGCTATTAGGGTAGGCCTTATAGAACAGGTGTATTTTATACAACACTGCATCATAATCGATGGAGTTGACGTCCCATGTGGAGATCATCTTCAGGGTCTTCCAGAAGCACTTGAGAAGTAGGTCTTGGTAGCGTGGGTACGCTGGGTCAGATACGCCGATAGATTCGTGGAGAAGGGATACTATTGCACTGTGAAAGAATGGTTTTATAGTGTTATTTCGTGAATATTAGAGAATTTTGTAGATCAGTAACATATTGATAACAAGTTTAGTAAGGTAAGCTAGTAAATAAAACTGTGTTTATACAGTAAAAAAGCTGCAAAAATATTAATAGAAATAAACTCAGAGAACAGAATATTGAAAGAATCTTTTGAAGAAAGTCCCATAAACTTTTGATTTCATGGTTTCAGTGACATTGTCCTACAAATAGAACACTATTACCACATTTAATTTCTGAAAACTTTTAAGCAAGCTAATCTGTCGGTATATGAGATACAATACAATAGAAAACAACACTGTGTTTCGCGTGTATCTATGTTGTGTTAGTAGCATGGGTTAAACATACCCCAGTAGCGGCGTCCTGGGCGAGTGCTCGAGTAGCCGGACGCAGACGTTGTTGAGTATCCGCACGAGTCGCTCGGCGTCGTGCCCCGCGTCGTGTCCGGCCGCCGCGCCGCCGCCCAGGACCCGCAGCAGTTCCCCCAGCAGCGCGCACAGCGCCGCCTCGCCCACGTGCGCGCCGCAACCGGCCGTCTCGTAGAACTGGGGGACGGAGGGACGACTTAGTAAACAATTTTAAATGTTCGATTTTGCATTATTTTATAGTCTCTGTGGGGATCGTTTATTAAATTCATTCAGAACAGAAGTCGTCTTTTTCAAATCGGGATGATTGATACTTGTCTACATATCCAAATAGACACTTTATAACGAATTATTCATAAGATACACTTTACGTTTAAATAAAAAAAACAGAAACATCATGGTGTTAGTTAAGTAATTTTTAACCAGCTTTCTGCTGTACATTTGGAAATATTAGAGGAAAGTTTGGTGTTTGTTTATATTAAAAGATTTTTCACTACATTAATCATGAAATTACAATCAAAGTTGATATGACAAGAGAAGGTATGTTGATTTTGTTGAGCTAAAAGCCGGTTAATAAATATTTAACTAACACCATGGTACTTCTGCTTTTTTATTTCGACAGATCATAAGAATAGTATCTTAAAATGTGTACAACATATACGTACCGTAGTGAGTGCACTAGCGAGGTACTTGTAGGCGGGCAGGGCGTCCTGCGGCGGCGCGGTCCGCAGGCGGCGGACCTGCGCCGCGATGGCAGTCACCAGCCGCGCCTCGTGCGGGGCCAGCGCGCCGCCGCGACCCGACACCAGCGCGCCCGAGATTAGGGACAGAGCTCGGATCGCCGCCTGCAAAACAATTTGTCGTGTTAATCTAAACATAGAAGAGATTAATTTGTTTCTTCAAAGATAAGTAAAGGTGCTCCTATTAAAATCACCCACTTTTATATGTTAAAGGGATGAGTTTATCATACCTGGCCTGGTAGAAATAATTATAATTTCTGTGCTACAAATAAAATGTCTGATCAATATAATAGTTCCGTAGCTGATACTTTAAGTCCCCTTTGATGAGAAGTCCAACAGTTAAAATGAAGCTGTTTAGATTGACATTGAAACTCCTTTAAAAATGCAGATCGATTGATGTACATACCAATCTCTAAAGACCACTAAAATATTTTATTAAAGGAAAAAAAACAAGAACATTAAAAGTGTATGTAGAAGAAATACTCACATTCAAATCCGGGCTAGCTATGGAGTGTATAGTGTCGGCGAGTTGTGAGTCGTCGACGTGCGCCGTGAGCGAGTGGGGCTGCGGCGTCACCAGCGGGGCCGCGTGCCGGGGCGGGGACATCGGGACCATGCTGGGGGCAAAAGTGTTGTTAGCTCTACTTACTTATGAAACTTAGCTTTACGTCTGTTGTTTGCCTCATGGGACAAGAATTGTAACGAATTATAGTTATTGATAAGGTTAAAGAAATGCTTTATACCAGTAATGTTATTCAAAGGCCAAGATGTGTTCAAGAGATTCTTAGTTTATCTCGAAAAGAGTTAAACTACATCTTGGTCTGACACATTATAAGTTAAATGGGGATGATGACAGGGTATGAAAATTAAAAATATAATTAGTCCGTAAGTTAGGTAATGAAAAAATATTAGACACGTATTTTTTTATTTTGTCGTATAATAAAACAATACTTAGATAAAACAATTCAAAGTTTAGGAGTGGGGGCTAAAACGTCATTGCTTAGTATAAAATGTACTGAGAAGTGACGTCACGCGACATTTCAAATCAATATATCTTCGAAACTATTCGTTTCTGTGAGAAAATAAAAAATACGTGTCTAATGTTTTTAAATAATCTATCAGACGGACATTAAAATAAAAATTAGTCGTCTACCCTATTGTGTTTTCTAAGGGTAGAATATTCCACGATCAATCTGTTTACACTGTAAACTTTACAGCAAATTGAAACAAAAGATAAATTAAAATTTTTCTGCCCCTTACAACATATTTACAACATTTCTGTTTAATTTTCCAATATTTTAACAATAGCACAAACATCTTACCTGGACCGGATAGGTGGTTGTGTATGTGTCATTTGTGGTCTAACTGCGCCAGTAGGAATAGGCTCGTCGAGGAACTTGAGGTCTATTTCAGCCACATCTGGCTGCCGTAGCACGGGCACTGCTGCGTCTAGTTGAGCGATCAATTCCGGGTCGAGACCGAATGGACCGGTGATGACTTTTGGTTCTGGTGGAGCGCTGTGGGCAAAAAATGTATTAGTACTGAATTATAAACTAATTACACACATATTGTTGACAATAATACGCCAAAGTTTTTCCGTAACTAGATAGCTGGTGAATTAACTGAATTTTGCGGGTTTTTGCTTTATTTAATAATTACCTTGATATTTCGACCAAAATGTTAGCTTGCTTGTGTGATAGTCATATTAAACCTTGTAAAAATACCCATTCCAATTGTACAATGGATGTTAAATAAGGTATTACCTCTTAAATTGTTCTGAGTATTACCATGTAGGTACTTACACAGGCAATGGTGCAGGTGCGGGAAGTGGTTCCTCTTCCTCCTCCTCATACTCCGCTGGAGTTGAGTCCACTGATATTACACGCCTAGGTTCTGGATCCTACAGACAGATAAGTTTATTATTTATTCCTGCCGATAGAGGATAAATATTGTCTTAAACAATTTTTCATCAGCCTTATTGGACCTATCTTAACATAACATCACCTTTGTATCCCCGAAGGGGTAGGCAAAGGTGCACTATATGGCACTTACTGCCACTGTACAATGTAACATCTACTTTTCACTATTTATGTTATGAGTCCCATTTAATAGAGGATGAGCCTATAGCCATATACTGGACACATTTCCAGACTCCGTGCTACTACTGAGATTTTTTTTTATAAAACCTAGAAATACTTTGCCCGACCCGGGAATCGAACCCGAGACCTTTTGCCCGGCACTTCTTACCACTAGGCCAACGAAGCAGTTACTACATACTAAACATACCTCTTGTTGTATTTGCACAGGTTTGCCAGAAGCAGTGAGTGGTACGAGCATGGACCGCCGCGACTCCGCACTTCGAGACTTGCCCGCGCGCTTTATACGCTCTTCCAGTAATGAGAGATCTTTGTCGGATATCTATAAATTAAAGAATAAAAAAAAATATTAATTTATTATAGTAGGAAAGGTTGTTATAGTCTCCTGACTTCGGTTACGATGGCTGATCTCATCTAAGTCTAGTTATGCAATTACACGGCATCCAATAAAAGAATTATAATAAAAAGTGATAATATTTCGTTGTAAATTTTGGCTCCCACATATTTGCTATCTGTTTTCAAACTAACAGCTTTTACTTGATAGCGAAATGAAATAGTTTTATTTATACCAGTGAGGACATTCCACAAATACATTGCTTATGAGGCAAAAACAGTTGCCATGATGCCTTTGATTGAACGTGAATTAAATAATGACTGCACGGTTGGTGCGGTGGCTGGGCAACCGGCTGCCGTGCAACGTGTCGCGGGTTTGATTCCCGCACGGAACAACACTTTGTGTAGTCCACAAATTGTTATTTCGGGTCTGGGTGTCATTGCGTATGTGTAGGTACTTGTAAATTTGTAAACGCACCCACGACACAGGAGAAAATCCTAGAGTGGGGCAACGTTTTTAAAAAAAAAATGACTAATGAATAGGCTTTTTTCTTAACCAAGATATGAAAATCCGCAAATGAGCCCTGGATGATATATAAAATAAACAGCGTAGGTAACGGAAAGTTTATTAAGTTATTTCGCAAAATAGTGACCTAATAAACATATCTTACAATTAACTAACACAATGAACATCAGTGAGCTGCGCGACGTCGCCGCGACCGCGCACGCTGCTCATAAGGAAGAACCCCTCTGTGGTTCGAAACTAGTGGAGCGTTTTTCTCAGTATATTCACGTGAGTAACCCGTGATTTTAGTTAATTTAGTATGTCTCACGATATTTATTATAAAAACATATCTTACAATGGTAACAACACAAAAAAAACTAGTTTTTACCTGTCCAATCATCTTGTAAACCTTCTCTCCCTCCAAGAAGTAAGCAGAAGCGACACAGTTGAGTGCGGCGGACCGGACGGCGTTGTCCCTGTCTCCGATGTGTCGCGCGAGTTCCTTGAGCGCCCCGCTACCACCACTGCCCATCACCGTCGAACCGTAAGTTTCTAGTAAGTGACCGATGCACTCTAGACATTCTGTGAAAGAAAAGAATTATTTTAAGCTAAGAATTATTTGAATCGATTAACCTCTTGTAGCCAGTATATAAGACACAATAGAAAACTAAAAAGAAGCGTATATCTGCGTTTCGGATTAGTAAATACCACAGGTTACTAATTCCATTGAAAATTACTATTTTGTGAGATGAAAGGTATAAGAATAACAATAATTTTTAATTACTATTTATGGTTATTAATGTAACAGTGACAGTGTTGACAACAAAGGAAAAACATGGTTAGGAACCCGAGTAATAAGAAGATAAAGAATCATTTACCATTTAGTAAAACAAAATCAATACAAACTATCAATCACCTGCTCAATACTAAAACAATGATAATGTGAAATTATTAGCTATTTTAAACTGATTAACATTAACGATTTTCCTTCCTTCACCACCTGCTAATTGTTATTATCGTAGCACTTACAAACTTTGCCAATCTCATAATTCGCAATTATCTACACAGATACATAAAACTAGTGTCTGTTTGCAATATTAAATAACCGCTGTTTACTACGTGCATTTTGAATACACATACTATTACACATACCAAAATAACATTTTATACATTTTTATTTCTCTGTTTGTACTGCGTAATCTCTGGAACAGCTGGACCGATTTCGCAACACTTTTATTGGCAAGTAGCTGATGTAAATGAGGAGTAACATTATTGTTATAATGAGAATGAGTGCTAATGGGTGCTAGTGTTGCAACTCAAGAATACGAAATTTCGCAATACCAATATCGATCGATCGGAATTGGATTCAAGAGTAAGCCAGCAGGTTGGAGATCTCTATTACTTATACTGGTCTATTACTATTATATATTTATTCACAATACTAGATAATTTATATCAACTTACCAGCTCTTTGCCTCGCGTTCTTAGACTTGAGTCCTTCCATCAAATATCCAAACAACTTGGTAACAGAATACACGACGCATATTTGCTTGAACAGAGATTTGACGCCGTTGCGCACCGTGTCCTTGGGGTCACCGACCTATTGTTGAACAAATAACAACTTTATACAATGAAAATAGAGCATAATATTATTTGATAGTAATTGTTGCATGCATTGATTGTTGAGTATTTCAATTGCTAATTTATCTCTATTATCCAAGTGCTATTATAGGTACTATTATTGCTTCTAATCATTTTATAATACCCCTACTTGACTTGGCTCAAGTATTCTGAAGTTGCAATTGAGTGATATTTATAGAATGAAAGGTAGGCAGAAGTATAAATGTTTGCATGTAAAACCCTGTTCTGATAGTTATCAAGTTATTAGATAAATCTCATAGTGCTATGAGAGTATCTGAAAATTTGAGGTTTTGTGTACCCAATGTGTTATATTTATATTTTTCACTAAAAATCATACTAAACAATGTCTTACCTTCAAAACTAGATAAGGTATAAAACAATTGGCTTCATACTCCGGCATGGTGTAGTCACTATCCATTAGATATGTGAACACAATAGAAAGGTACTCCAATCCCTTGAGGATCACTGACGGGTTCGTGTCAAAGAACCGAAGTGTCAACCATTTGAGGACCAAGTCCAAATTTGCCATTAAAGCTTGTCCATTCTCGTGTAGATCTTCTGATAAAGCCTCTATTGCTTTTAAGTGATATCTGTGGAGAGATAGTTAATATTATTTTTAATTTATTGATTAAAAACATCTGCTAATTTAAAATAGAGTTTATGGTTAAGATAACAAGACTTGCATTCCTGTTTTGATGTGAATTTACAGAAAGCAAGAATGTATTTTAAGACCCCAATAATTAAAAAAAAAATACAGTCGAATTGAGAACCATTTTCTCTTTTTTCTTTAGTTGGTCGAGTTGCTCCTCTCGAGAATGTTTATGTGTCGCGATAGACCCAGTTTCATCTATGCGTTACGTAAAAGAGGGTCGCCTAACTAATGCGTTAACCGCGTTTATACTAACTCTTGCGGATAAAATATTTAATAGAATGTTTTTATTACAAACCTGAAGTCATTATGGAACATGTTAGCAACCAGTTGTTTGTTCAATCCAGCGGTCGCCATCTGCTCCTTTAGAAGTTCGAAGAACTCCTCGCGAGGAGTTGTGAAGTTCCATTTCAATACTGTGACAAAAACACAATTTTAATTAATTATTTACCTTCAATAATAACTTTCATTTTATGACATGCCATTTAGGTGACGGTTTCGACCTTATCTACAGAGAGTTTTAATCATACAAATACGCAAACCACACATGCATAGAACTCAAACAAATCTACCTTTCAAATAAATAAAATATTTAGTCTACAACTGGATCTCAGACTTATTTCACTCCAGCCCATACTTTTTAAAACCAGGCATAATTTTACTTACTACAAGTACAGACAACACATCCAGACACACACACACAAATATATTCAACTTGTTACCTTTTATACTACCCATACAATAACCAATCCTCAATGCACGCAGAAAAAATGTATTTTGTATGAAGAAAATTATACCATCCATAGACTATATAGAACAAAGAACGAATGATAAAGAAAAAGGAGGTTTTATAGTTGAAAAGTTTCGTCTAACCTTTGAGTTTTTGATCGTCAATGATGCGTTGGTTCTTGGCGTTGTTGTTTGGTAGGAGGGGAGAGCAATCCTCGTCATCCTTCTTGCCGCGACTTGATGCTGAAGCCGATTTTACTGGTCCCTATAGGAAATGAGATTATTGAGAAAAATGTTGAACATAATTGTGGCTAAGTGCCTTTTCATATGCTCCGGTAGCTGTGTACCTGGTGGTCAACATATGTTAAAAGTTAAGAGTAGAATTTACCGAAGCGTGTGATGACACTATAATGGTCTGGCAAAACAAACTATAATTAAAATTTAACAAAGGACTCGAATTAGAAACTGAATTCCTAAAGTTGTAGCGACTACGCGACTCTGAACCTTATGCAATGTACTATGTATGTACTTAAAATTCAATTTACACTGTTTTAAAATTACGTTAGTACTTCATAAACTATAATACTTTTCTAGTCTATACTCGGAATTTTAATTCGATTCCAGATTTGACAATTTCAGTGTTGCAACGTTATGACAAGTACTAAATAGTGACGTTGCGAAATTATTCGATATAGAAATGGAATATTTCGGGATCGATTCTTCTCGTTTATAATTTTAGTCTCGTAAAAAGTTTATCAGGAAATTAAATATTTCTGACCGATAATTTAGTTTTGACGATTAATTAACGATCTGAGACTTTTCTTTTATAATTGTGTGTGAAATTAATAAAAAAATGTAACCATGAAGGAACATAACAAATAAAACAGATAGATGTATTATGGTAATAAGTTATTTTATAAATTGTCGCCGTCATCGATATCGCTATCGCTGTCACTTTCTGTAACATTTATTATAAAACACACACACTGATTGTTTATCGATTTTTGTGTTCATCACTACACTATTATATGTGGTATCATTATTTCACAAAATGACAGTAGCTCATGTCAAATCTGGAATGGAATTAAAATTCTGACTATAGTTGACTAGTCCTTCTTACCTTGCCCTTAACAGCAGTGCCTTTCTTCTCAGCCTCCTTCTTTAGTGCGCCAGCGGACTTAACACCACGTGGTTCTTCTTTCTTGCCTTTAGATGGCGGTAGTGGTTGTACTGGCAAGCTCGGTCGAGCCTTGTCTAACGCGGCTTGTACTACTGTTTTGGAGCCAGGCTGGTAGAAGAAAAAAATTATATATTCTATGTAATTATTGATAGTAAGATAAGCACAAAACAACACTGACAAGACAAGTTGACTAAAATATTTTATTGTCACTTGTTTAAACATGATAGAAGCATGCATTTAACTCTCTTGAACTTCATTACACTAATTTAAAATTAAGGAGTCGCCTATAAGTCACTGGGGGAGACCTATGTTTGGTTGTCTGTCTGTTAGTCTGTTTAAAAGTCTTATGGTTGATTACAAATATTTTAGCCCACCAAGAGAAAGTTTATTGTTTTTCGGTAACCAAACCAAACGTCTAGCATCAGACGATAAATACAATGCCTAAGATCTCTGTCTCTCTTTTAAATTTCTATCTAAACAAGTTTTGAATATTACAAGTTTTGAATATTGAGTTACATAAAAAGATTACCTTCAATTTGTCGAGTTGTTTATGCATGGCCTCGTACCCTAGATGCAACATGACGGGCAGTACACAGTCCGCCGTCACCTTGCGCACGTCGGCGGCGCGGTCCTCCAGGCACGCGTACAGGATTGGCACGCATACTGACAGCTCCTCGCGGGGGAATGATTTTGGAGGTACTGGAATTATAAATATAAGATTTATGCTGAGTTTATTTTTTCATTCGAATATAAGGCAACTGCAGGATGTTGTTTTTATCTTCATTAATTGATATAAGACTACACTCGGCAATTAATGTACAGAGGTAAACCACAAGCTACCCTGCTAGCTAATCCGTAAATTGCAATAAGTGATTTACAACCCTAATACTTAGCAATAACGTTCTTTATTGTAGCCTATTTAATAAATTCAGCAGGCATGTAAAATGATATCTGAATTATTTACAGTTGGTTATACAGACAATACAAATACTATAAGTTTGTTATTAGGATTGTGAGGTTGCAGTACCATTAGGCAGATGGTCTGCCAGCCACTGCAGCAGCGTGGCGCGCAGCAGGGGGCTGCCGGCCTTGAGCGCGTCGTGCAGCATCTCGCCGTCCAGCGCGCACTGCGGGCCCGCCGCGCGGCACCACGCCTCCACGCACGACACCGCCGCCGCGCGGATCCACTGCTTGCTGTCGCCGAAGGCTGGCCCAACGAAAAGTATTCCACTTTCAATACACTTCTTTTCACGTCGAGTTTAAACTTGAGATTCGTTTACAAAAGTATGCACTTACAAAAATATTAACGCGAATAAATGATATGTCTTTTTTATTTTATAGGGGTTTTTGATATTTCGGCTTTATTAGCAAAAAATATCTGTGATAATATCTAAACAACTTTACTGACCATGTCACTTTAAAGTAGGTATTGTAAATATCTATAAAGTTGAACTATAACTTAATACAGAATTGTGTTTTTTATAGAGTTTAGTGACAGATACAAAGTACATTTAAATTACTGTTAAGCATAGGCTGGTTTTACAGTCACGCCGCTAGACGCGCCGTTGGACAGCGCGCTGTTGGACAGCGCGCGTTTGAACAGCGGTGCACCATAAAACGACATTAGTACGGCGCGTTTCGCTGCTGTGAGACAGTCGTGTACAAACAGATACAAAATGAACGGCAATGCGATTAGAGTACTGGCTATTTACTTTTTATGGAAAAAAAGGCAACAAAAACGTCGAAGAACAGTAGGTGTTGATCCTTATAACGCTACAAGGTTACTGAGAGGCGAACACGTAACATCTTTCTCTGATTTACGAGAAAATAGTTATAAATTTTATAAATATTTTCGCCTATCAACCAGCAGTTTCGACGAATTACTGTGCAAGTTAGAGTTTTCTTTACGAAGATCCAGCATACGTCGCATCCCCATAATTCGCACTTCGTCAATTACTCGACCCGTATCGATGTGATTCATTTTGTACATGTCGTAGGATAATTTGATACTTCGAATCTTCGCGGAAATCCTAGGGGTTTTGCGAAAACGCGGATAATTAGACATAGGCGAAAAATTATCAAATCTTACTGGACAAAGTCAGGATTTTTGTGAAAATACTCGTTACTATAGTAAGATTTGATGTGCTCAACACTGATTGGCTACAATTTTGCTGGCTGACTTCTAATTGGTTCCTAGTTTGCCGATGATTAACTTCAAGTATTGTATCATAGAGTTATGAAGGTTTAGAATAAGTGAGAAAGGAAAATCACTAAATCGTCTTTTATAAACTTTTTATTGAAAATTTTAGTATGTATGTTGTTTTCTACAGACAATAGGAGATCTCAGTCGTAGTAAAAAAAATGATCCAATTTTAGGGTGTAATCCATAAATGGGATGAAACTGGTCGTTTAAGACGACGAAAAAACATTTAAGACGTCAACCAATCAGAGACGATCTCTTATTGAACGCGCTGACCGACCAATCAGCGTTCTTATTTCATAACAGCCAGCGTTTCGTTTCGCAATCTTACTATAGTAACGAGTATTTTCGCAAAAATCCTGACTTTGTCCAGTAAGATTTGATAATTTTTCACCTATGTCTAATTATCCGCGTTTTCGCAAAACCCCTAGGATTTCCGCGAAGATTCGAAGTATCAAATTATCCTACGACATACACAACAGTACCTAACGGCACGTCTCAACGGCGTGAGACTAAAACGCACAATGGCCGTAGAAGCGCACGAGCGGCGCGCGCTTCGACCGCGCCGCGCGAATAGGACGCGTTCAACGAACGGCGCTGCTCAAGCGCGCGAATTTGAAACGCTACTAATACCCCAATACATATCCGAGCGCGCGCGCTCCGACGGCGCTGCCGAAACGTGTGACTGTAAAACCAGCCATAAACTATAATAATCTATGTCTGAACAATAACTTCATAGCTACAAAACACTGAATGTATCTGACCTTGGAAGAACGCAGGGAAGAAAGTCCTGACATGTGACTTGCTCTTGACTCCCATTGCAGAAGCTAATGCTTCACAGATCTGCAAGGCACTCTGTGCTAGTTTGGAGTTGGAGTCTAGTAGACGCGCTGACAACGCTGCGGGCAACTCGCCTAGAGACGGCTTAATAGGCGACGAGTTTGTTATTATTGCCTTCACTTTATCGAGAGCTTCGTTACGGACCTGTTAGAATATAAATAAATCAGAATTAACGTTGGAGAAACTTATGTTTAAAAGTGGACGATAACAGACTGTTTTAATAAAAGTCCTAAATAAATAAGTAAAACTTTTGTCATATCGATAACTGCACTAGCAATGGCGTAGATATGCATGGGCAGCGTGGGCCGTAATTAATGACCTCACGAGGCTTCAAAATATGAATTTACTGAATCATGCGAAATCATAGCTTATCAATTTTGAGAAGACATTTTGTCTTACCTTCCAGTTCTTGTCATTGATCTCAGCAATGAGTGCCTCAGTGATGAGTGGCGCGATGTCAGTGCGTGGCCTGTTGTCGTCCACTACGACGGGTTCGTCCTCCGTCGCGTCCTCAAACGCTTCCTCTATGTCGTCCACTGACGCTTTACTTGCAGACTGGAAGGTAATATAACATTTTTAGTTGGTTAGGTGTGGCTGTGTTTTTTGGGGTAGGAGACAGACAAGTACACGTATCACTAGATGGTAAGTAATTAGTCTCTCGGACAATGGACTCTCGTAACAATAGAGGATTCACAAGCGCATTGCCCGACTTTTAAAAAGGGGATGCGATTGTAAAGAATTTTGTAATACGCACATCAGTTAATACTGGTCAGTTTTTACTAAAAAACTAAGGATTCACTTCAAAAACTATTAATAATTCAATTTACTCAATGTTTCAATACAAAGGCAATTTAGAGAACAGAGAATAAGATCAAGCAGGATCTTCCGACCAGGCGAGGCGTTCGTGTTTAGCGGGCTTTCTGCTCAACTGGTGATCTTTGTGATTTTCTGTCCGTGTTAATTCGCATGTAAACTTTACATGTGCGATGTAGGATTTTGTGACGGTATCCATTGATTTGTTTTTCATCGATGGTCTATACTCGGAATTTTAATTCGATTCCAGATTTGACAATTTCAGTGTTGCAACGTTATGACAAGTACTAAATAGTGGCGTTGCAAAATTATTCGATATGGAAATGCAATATTTCTAGATCGATTCTTCTCGTTTATAATTTTACTCTCGTAAACTAAGTATATCAGGAAATTAAATATTTCTGAACCGATAATTTACTTTTGACGATTAATTAACGATCTGAGACTTTTCTTTTATAATTGTGTGTGAAATAAATAAAAAATGTAATCATGAAGGAACATGACAAATAAAACATAAAGATGTCTTATGGTAATAAGATATTTTATAAATTGTCGCCGTCATCGCTATCCTGTCACTTTCTGTAACATTTATTATAAAACACACACACCGATTGTTTATCGATTTTTGTGTGCATCATTACACTATTATATGTGGTATCATTATTTCACAAAATGACAGTAGCTATTGTCAAATCTGGAATCTAATTAAAATTCAGACTATATGTGCGAGAGCTGTCGTTTGATGTGTGACATGTGTCACCACAGAAATAATGTAGAACTTCCTAATGACAATATTACAATTATAAAAAAGGTGTAAACAATGTCTTTCTTACCTTACTAACAGTTCCTATCTGCCTTGTAGGAGTAGGTGGCGTGCTGTTAGCATGTTTGTCTAGCTCCAAACTGATCAGTTGTTTAGTGGCTGGCTTCTCACTATCGAAGTGGTTTATCAGGGATGGTCCCACATATAGAGACAAGATGCCAAGGAAGTTCACTGCTGATGTACGGACATTGGGGTTTGTGGCTGATAGAGCCTTCTTGCTGTGCGCTATTATTGATTTGATGTTCATACTGCAATAAATAAATTGTGATTGTGACAACATACATTCTGAATTAAAATCATTATCAAAGGAAATGTAAAAATAGGCACTTAAGTGCGCACATGTCTAGCGCCGGCGGTACAAACAAAAATCAACTCTTGGTTGTGTTCAAAAAATATAAAATTAATTAACTGCTTCAATGCACCGATATGAGACAATAGAAAATACATTGTTTCTCGCTTGGATCCGCGTTTAGACACACGAAAGGTTCTGATGACATCACGAAAGAAAATAGTCTGTCAGTCTATCCATCAGTAAAGCTAGGTGCTCGTTTCATAAAGTAGATTCTAGTGGAGAAGAACGAGAAAGAAACTCAACTCGTTACTCCTAAAAACTAACTTACTTAAACCCAAACTCCTTGATAGCATTGGCCATCCAGTTGAACATTTCCGATTGTACTTTAGGGTTTTTCTGTGAATCCATGGCAAACATTAGTCCCTCATTGAGAACATGTTCTATACCACATGCTTCAGCTAAAGAGGTAAGGCAGTCTGCACAGATTGATGCACACGACGCTTCACCAAGCTTGGTTACTACGTCTTGAAGGACAAAGTCCGCTGCGGTCCTGTAAAAGAAAATTAAGTATGAATTCACTTTTCAAGTTCCATTGGTTCCGCGACGCCACCTGCGTCGGTTGTTTCGCTACTTGAGTATGATTATGGGCCCCTAGTGTGACTCGAAACTGATCGAGTTACCTCATTGAAAAGTTATGCGGGTAAGCTGTACAACATAATTTATGTAAAATGCTTCATGATCATTTAAATACAACAAAAAATATAATATGTATTAAAAATGCATTTTTTTTTTCTTTTCGATTATTGCGTTAATTTGTTGACTGAATCACAATTAAAAATAAATAAAACAACAACTTACGTAGAAACCGGGAAGTTCTCAGTAATGTACTTGCAAGCTTCGAGCCTGGCTTTCAGCACCTGAACGTTGGTGTCTTTCAGACCGGGCTTTTTGTTTAGCGTGCGGTAGAGTACTTGTGAGGTCGCATCGCTTGAGGTCAGACCTTGAACTGTACTGTGGAAGCTCTGGACGGCTGATAAACGGGTCTTCCAGTTGCTGTCGCCGAGACCTGAGGATTGCGAAGTTATTTTATTGATGAGTTATTATGAAATAGTAGAGGAAGTTCACATAGAGGTAGTAAATATTAAAACTTAGTTTTCGTCGGTAATATTCAAGTCCTTGTAGGAACCATTACTGATAAATGCGATAACCGAATTGTAATTTAGACGATCGGCGAATCAAAACCCTAGTTTAATAAATTCCTAGTTTAGTAAATCAGTTTTCATGAATCTTTAAAATGGGGTATTCCACTTTGCGCACCTAAATGAAGCGCACCCAGACGAAGTGCACCTAAAGTATTCAACTTTGCGCACCTGTAGGTGCGCTTAAAATAAAAATTTTAAATAAATAGTTTTTCTATTCCACGAAGCGCACCTACGAATATCACTCGCATAGTGCGGAGACTAAGAAATAAAAATATCGATATAAGAAAATATTTATTATTTAAAAGACTAACTTAAATATCTAACATCTAGTTAATGTAAGTAAGCCATTACACTCTTTTTTATTACACCGCCACAAGGCATTACCGTTTTTATAAACCTTGTGTTTACGATATTTTTTGTTATTATACACATATTCGTAGGTGCGCTTCGTGGAATAGAAAAACTATTTATTTAAAATTTTTATTTTAAGCGCACCTACAGGTGCGCAAAGTGGAATACTTTAGGTGCGCTTCATTTAGGTGCGCAAAGTGGAATACCCCTTTAAAATATCAGATTGACTTATAATTTGCTTTACCTGCTATTACATCAGCCGGGAACAACATCTCTGCCTTGGCGTCGACTTCCTCCTGCGATAACTCTTGTTCACGCGGCGGACTGGGTTGGCCGCGGGACGCTGGAGCCTTCTTTACTGGGGCTTTAGCTGAAAAATAAATAAAGTGTTCAATATTGTAATGTTAAGCACATGACTCTAGAGTAAGATCATGAATAAAGTCGTAAAATTCAACAATTCTAACAATTGGTACATAGTTTTTAAGTCATTAGCAGTATTGGTTCACTAAACTATTTCAATCTGACAATTCATCGATTCGATCGATTTTCGAATCAATCACAAAACAATAAAGTTGAAAACAATATGCGGAATAAAATTTCGCGAAAACGCAACACTATTATCAATCTTCTTAGATTCTAACAATCTATTTCTTAGCTACTGTTACCAAATACATACCAGAGTTGGGTCGTTTCACTGGCTTGGGTTGTGCAGAACCGGCCGTAGGTTTAGAATCACCTCTAGCAGATGGTGATGGATTTGGCTTAGCCTTTGCCTCCTTCTTCGGAGCAGCCACCTTCACTTGTATCACAGCCTGAAAGTCAAAAAAACGGTCGCAGTTTAAGTTGAAATGAAATTTTTAATTTTATGTTACACAATATACTACTTGAACATCAAATAAGATGCAAAGTGGTAGGTCAGTTGAATACTTTATATGCGATAGTTACAGTACAACATCACTTCGAAATCTGACCGATTTAAAATGTAACCTTAAATCTCTAGATGGATCTACTACTACAGAACTCCATATAACTAATGTTAAAAACACAACCATCAGAAATCGATTTATACCCACTTGCATCATCCTTTATGGCAATAAGAGGGGTCTTACTAGTACTATATACAAGTTTCTAGTACTACAACCTCATTATTGCACAGATTCCACTAACCAGGGTGGTTACCTTGTCCGCAAACTCTTTGATTTTCTGCTCCTTCAAAGGTTCCAGTTTGCCAATGTGTGGTGCGATGTTCTTCTCTCCGACTAGTTTTGTTGCTGTACCTAATGCTTCAGCTGCTGCGTCTCGTACGGCGGGATCTAAAGTAAAGATTGTTGTAGGTTAATAAGGGCTACCGTGTTTTGCTCACCAAAAGGCGCTTATGTAGCATGAGGTCCGAGTGGCAAGCACGGAGCACTGGAGCCGGCCAATCAGAGCGCCGAACGCGCTCGATACTATTACATTACGAATGCAATAGATATTCGTGCTTGGAACTCTGTTAAAAACAGAGAATAAGCAAATGTACTATGTACTACAGTGGACATAGAAAGGTACTAGATAGACCATTTATTAGCTGTTCCTTCAATATACATATAAAATGAAAAATTATACTAATCAATATATTTCCCTACCAGCACTTTCCAGCAACTTCAGCAAGCCAGCAACATATGCCTTTATGAGCTTCTTGTTGAATGCAGCTGGCTGAGTATGGCACAGAGCTCTTGCTAAGAAAAGGGAACTTTCAGCTTTTATTGACGGGTTCTTATTGTCGAAGGCTGCTAGCATATCTTCCATAATGGCTTCAAGATTTGTCTGTAAATTAAAAATCACATGGTTCAGTTGGTTGCGCGACGTTCACCGCGTCGTTTGTCGCGTAATACTCATTACTAAGAGCCCTGTGTGTAGCTCGAAACTATTCGAGTTACATCGTCAAACCGATTAATTATACAAATATTGAAAAACTTGATTTGCTTACTTAATTGGAAGAGTTGATTCAAATTAACAATAATATTTGACGAAAGATTAAAGCTATAACAACAGTAAATACAGAATATACTCACACAAGGATATATAGCATCGATAGCCTCTCTGAGGGCCGTAACAACATTAGTTTTCTTCTCTTTAAACTTCTCTAGTATAGCTTGCACACACGCACAGGCGTACGGGGAGAATTTGTTGCGAAGACCTGTCGCGACCATGCCGAGGAGACGACCGCCTAACGCTACCAACATAACATTTGTGTCCTTTGATATCACCTGGAAACATAAAATAAACATTTTGTTAATGTTTTATGGAAAACTTTCAGTCCAAATGTTAATAGGACACACACTACTGGACACCTGGTTTCAATTAAAAGGTGTAATATTCACTTTTTGGGGACAGTTGAAAAGCAGTTACGTTTACGTACAACCCTGTAACAAGCTTTACGCTTAGGGAAAAACCGTATCACTTCTTTTGCAACACCTACATATATGGTAAAATCCCACCTATAATAGAATAAATTGTTACCTTTTTCAAAGCTCTAACTAAGTCAGCATAGTCTCCAGGTTCCAGTTTAGGAGCGGACTTGAGGAGGTTCTCCAGTACGTCCAGGGCTTCCTTCCTCTCCTGCCACTTCTTGGCCTCCAGTTTGTCATAGAAGTCCTTCGGCAGTTTGGACAGGATCTCCACTGGGTCCAGTAAATCATAAGGGTCCATATCCCCTGAGTCTCCGCCGCCAGTTTCGGCGTCGTCGTCTTCTGTCGTGCCTAAAATATTGTCATAAGAAACAATATAATATTGTTCTACTATATTGGTAATTTGAATTAGATTGTATTGAGACTACTCACAACTCTTTATATTATATCTTTTTTATTTTTTCTAAAATTTAGTTTTATCACTTTGAAAACTGTAACAAAACTTTTTGAACTACATTTTATTATAAATAGTTTTGGCTTTATTTTGCTAATACCACCATAACCAATGTCCTTACCATCAGCACAGTCAGCAGCAGGAGTATCCCGCACCCTGTTCTGCTGCGAGCGAAGGTACCGGGTGGGCTGCGCCCCTCCCCCGCTGCCGCTGAACGACTCCCTCAACTCCTGCTGTACCACTGCTTGTAGGGACGCTATGTGAGGCTCTATGGCTGCTCCTATCCATCTGAGGAAGAAGTATGTTACTTTCTGTTTAAATATTGAAACAGTTTTCCCATACAGATGTTTCAACAGTCAAAAAAGTCAAAGAGTCAGTCAAAAAAAATCTAAGGTAATAAGCCTTTCTAGGAGCATGCTCTTCATAGCTACTTTGTAGATATCGGTACTCGCAAGTTGCGCGTCGCTCACTAATTATATCTATGTTACATTTGCCACCGCGATGAGATATATTTCATTATTATGACAGTATGAATTGGTCTGCATAGTCAACAAAATATAAGGTATATTTTGAGTTCATATTTATAGTACCAAAGGATTTTTGTTGATATTTTCTCTGCAGCACAATTGAACAATATCACAACATTATTTTGTATCATATAGCAATAGAATTAAAGTTCAAATTACCTGTGCATTTCAATAACAAGGGCTTTCATTTCATCTCGCACACCTTTGTCTCTGTCTGACAATAATACAGGGATCTTCTTCACCATAGGTTTGATGGCTATCACTTTGTTACCAAACTGTTTCAATGCCGTGTGTAAAGCTGACACACAAGCTGCCACCACTTTGGGATTCTTCTGTTCCATACCCTTGATCAATTCTTCTTCCACTATTTCATGTTTTTCTATTTCTACGTACATTAGAGTTATCTGTAAAGAGTTTGTTTTTTTAAAAATAAAGTATCCTTGATTTATGACGGATGGTTACATTAAGACTGCCTTGTTGGCCAAGCAGTGGCAAGTGCGACTGCCAGGCAAGCGGTCTCGGGGTCGATTTCGGGTCGGGCAAATTATTACTGGGTCATAAAATTCTCAGTAGTAGCACGGAGTCTGCAAATGTGCCCGATATAATATGGCAATAGGCTCACCCCCTATTACATGAGTCATAAGTCATAACAGAAATAATGAAAAGTGGGCGTTACATTGTACAGTGGCGTTAAGTGCCGTAATGTGTAAAAGGCGGGGGCGGTACCCCCTTCGGGGGTAAAAGGCGTTATGTAATATTATGATTACATTAGGTATGTTATGCCAGAATTAGAATATTAGATGTTCTATTGTCTCTTTCTTTGGCTATTGAGACGACATGAGGGTAGTCATCACGAAACGGCGCCGTTCATTTATTGTGATTTTTTTAAGAATCAACCAAATTCATATTTTTGTAGTCTAGGACCTGAGTAGTCCTATAATAATCAAATTACAAATTATTTTTGCCATTGTAATATTCATCACACATATTGTCATCGTTTGATTTTACCTTTAGATTTGTGTATGTATCACAATTTATTTTTCAATAGGTATCTCAAGGAAAATCAGGCCAGGTTCATTGTATTCGATCATAGGACATTGACACATTCAATTATTCACTTTAAAACTGACCTAGATGCAGTTTATATTGAACTGAAAGTAGGTTAAGCAAACCACAGTATTAATAAACGGAATTAATATGAAAAATAATAATTGTATTGTGGTTATACTTTTGTATTGTAGTTTAATTTCCTTATTATGCATGGGTGACCCAGGTGTGACTTATGAGGTCTCTGAAGTTTTATGAGAAATCTGATGTCACTATGCTTTGTCATTTAACGTTTTGTAAGCTAATGCTAATGTAGAAAGGAAAAGTTGTACCGAATGGTATGCCCCTTACATGCAACATCAGTTTTTATTTCCCGAAAATGTATAACATAAAATGAAATATAACAAAAGATTTTCAACTGTTATATGTTTCATATAATAGGGACCGGTTACTATGCATTATAATCGGTAATCGGGAATCTAACGTAACGCCCTTTACGTAGCGACTTTTCGACTAAAGAAGCAATGACGCAAAACAATTTTTATAATTATGATCGACCGGCCATGCTGAAAAGATAAGATCAACATCATTATTATATTGTTATCTTCTGTCGGCAAATCATTCAATTGATTCGATACCGAAGACCTTCGGCCATAACTGGGTATCATTTAACAGCTGTTAACACAATCAGAATGCAGTCTTGGACGCGCTACTTATGAGGAGATGCTGTTTTAGTAGTGAGGTCAATGGTATTGAATACCATCTCATTTTACTGCGCGTTCGTTTACAAAACTATAAGCGACCTACGTTATTTGTATAGTAGTACATTGAGACTATAAAGTTAGCATTTAGCCTTGGTTATAAAGTCAAAAAAGGCATTATTAGATTTTTTCTCCAGCTTGGTAATCTAAATTTAAGTGTAGCTTTGCAATGTATTAGATTTCTGCTGGTCTGTTATCACTACATAGTATAAAACAAAGTCGCTATCCGCCGTCTGTCTGTCCCTATGTATGCTTAGATTTTTAAAACTACGCAACGGATTTTGATGCGGTCTTTTTTATTAGGTATAGTGATTCTTAATGAAGGTTTATATGTATAAAACATGCATATTGTACCCGTGCGAAACCGGGGGGGGGGGGTCGCTAGTAGTAGAAGATAAAGGCATCATCATTATTAGAAGACGTCCCCTGCCACCAAGGAGATATAACACAATGCTTTTTAACGCCGGAGGTAGGGTAGAAATGCAATATACAATGTAACACCTATTTTCACCAGGCATGTTACGTTAATCCTAGAGTTTGTTTAGGTGCATCCACACAAATGTTTACAAACCTGTAGTGCAAGGTCCTTAGTTTTAGTCTTGGGCGCTGCGATGCACTTGGCGACGATGCCAGACATCACCTCGCCGGTTGTCTTGCCGGCATGCCCGCAGTTCTCCACGAACACCAGAGCAGCTTCCAAACCTAAAACAAGAATTATAACATTTAATTCTCTTTTAAAATCCTGTGATTGCTATAATAGTCCATCGTCCAATACTAAATAGATGAATGCATGGAAACTTGTAGATTTTCTACGGCGGTTGTGTGAATAATCATTAAAAAATTTACTATTTTAAGTGCATGTAAATAATATCCTCTATGAATGACAGGCCCGCTTAAAAAACATAAGTATCGTTCAAAGTGTCAGATTTATCTTAATTAGTATGGTTTCTCGTTTCAAGTATGTATTTAGTATTTAACAAGTAACCTTCAAAAGGACTTCACTTATGAGGTCAGTGTTCACGATTCAACCCTTCAAGGGCGCCCTCTGTCATTTGATCCCTAAATCGAGTTCAATAATTAATTCAATTGAAATCTATATCAACAATGGATTTTAAGTTCAACTTCAGCCCTTTCAAATATATACTTAGTACTTTGAAGTAATTTCCATTGCGTGGCTGAAGGGTTTCCGTGAAAATATTTATCGGTCGACGCCCTTACGTGTAGTGTGTCGACGGTAACGCACAAACAATGAAAAAACATTAACATTGATCGGTATTTCTGTTATCAAATTGGAACAAGTTTGTTAAAAGATTGTTTTAATTCCTTTTAAAGAGAATTAGTTTATGTGTATCGTTCGTTAATGTACTTTTTGAAAATTAATCTTTACTGTTTTCTTTGCAATACACGTCTTACATAGATGTAGGTATGTGTGTGTAAGCAATATGCAACGCATATTCAGTCGTCTGTGACCGAATTTTGATGCCGACAGCCAATACGAGTAGATCGCCAACAACGCAAAAGATTAAAGTGCATAATTGCGTGCTCCGTTATCCGTATCTGTCTGCAAAAATAACCACATTTTATGGTTATTTTTTCCTTATTTTGCAGGTGTTTAAATCTCAATAACTGCTGATGCATTCAAAGTCCAAGTTTTATGTTATCGAAGTTGCATACATACGAATAGACTTGATGTTATCACATCCGCACTGCATATAACAGAGGAATTCAGTTACAACATGAACAAAACATTGGAACACCTTTCTTCAATAATATGACAATTGGAGTCACATATATGTAAAGACAACTTTTTATAACTGGATAAAGTATAAACTTCATTCATCTTTATTATTTACTTATTTCCCACATGTTTCGACTCGTCACGTGACGATACCATACAACAAGCTGAACTTCGCATGTGATTAAACATGTGACAAAGGAAACCTTGCGATAATTACTCAAATCGTAGCAAACGGAGACATTTTGAATTGGATTATAAATAAATACCGAATTTAAAATGAGTCATATGAGGCTAGACACCAAATGACAATGGTAATGACCTTTTATGGCTAACTAGAAAGTCGATTCATATACAAGATTTGTATGTGTATAAAATTCTTCGAATGACTTGCGTGAAATGAAATACTTATTGGACGTAAATCGATTAATAGAAAGTAACAATCCGAAATAGTATAATCGAGTACGAATGACGAGTAAGGCAAGCATTTCGATTGTGATTTTAAGACTAGGTCTAAACTCTGAATCAAGTGAGAATTAAATTACAGATATAACCGCATAAAAATCTGCTTCACTAAGTACCGTTGCTAATAACATTTTTGATAGAATTAGAGGTTTAAATGCATTAAACTACTTTTCTAGGCACATCAGCGGTTTTGCCTGCGTTACCAGGATAAAAGTACTTAGCCTGTGTTATTCCAAACTTTTGCCTGCATTACCTAAATAAAAGTAACCTATGTTATTCCAGACTATAATTCAGTTTTCTTTAACAATTTTCGTCATACATCGAAACTATGCCATTTGTAATATATATTTCAGCCCCAATAAAGGCGAAAAAAACTAGGAAATTGCCCCTTCAAGTAATTTGAGACCATAATAGTCTTAGCCATGGACTAGCGCTTGTTTACTCGTTGAGGCTAGCTGGAGGATGAGTCAATGACATGGGGACATTGGCTCTTATAAAATAACTACAACAAATGTAGAATAGGATCTCCCATCCCATACATCGTTAAGAATAGTTTACAAAAGCCAAATGTAGCTAGCCTTTGATTTATTAGTGCTTGAAATGGCCTCAAGAATAAGTCTATAACAATCTACTAAACTATTTTCACATTCAAGAGGGAAAAATACCATTACTATTTGCCTTAGTTACAATAAACATGTATAAGAATATTCCATTCAACGAAAAACTGGGTCCCCTATGTGGCTTTTGTATTCGGTATGAAGAATTACGAATTGAAACCATTTTGTTATCGAATCGGTTTCGCCACACGACTACGGGTAATGATTTTAAACGGTACTAATAAAAGATGCTACATTTAATACACAAAACGATTTCAAAGAGTATTCTAGAATCATTCATTTAAAATTTCATTGTCTTATTTTAAAACTGTTCTTTTTGCACTTATACATATTTCTTAATTTTCAAATTTGAATGGGAATCTCATTAGGAGTTCAGACTGCACGGTTAGTTAGTACTGTGGCTAAGCGATCAGTTAATGCACTGTATGTCACGGGTTCGACGACCGCCCGGTACTAATATTTTGTATCACTATTGATGAGGTTAACGGTATAACGAGATATTGAGATAAGTGCAGTCCACTGTCCATTGCCATAGGTCATTCTACACAATAGAGTTTGCCATAATCTCCATGCGTATTAAGCGGGTTTGAGATACAGATAAAAAAGATCAGGTTTATTTGTAAACGCAGAAGAATGAACTCTGTTCAGTGGTCATGATGACTGATGAATGAGGGGTCACGGGTGTAACAGTCTTTTCGTCAGGTCTTACAATTGTAGAAGAATAACAGTGGTTGGTGACTAATGCATTTTATTCTGCCCTAACCACACGATAAACCACCCGCACGATGACCTAAGTTAAATATTAGACACAAAATAAAAAAGGCAACTGACGTCTTAGCAGAAATAATTCAAGGAAGCCATATCGTAATGGGCTTCAATACCACTCTAGCGACAGTAATGGCTACAGGAAGCAATAACTCTTTAAGCCAGACACCCTCAATTGAGTTTAACTGAGCAATTACCAAGAAATTATGCAAACTACTTGCTTTACTTGATGCTATTCTGATTTCTATGACGTCTTATAAACAACGACTGGTGTGAAATGATGTACCTACTTACCTAGGATTTTTATTGAATGTCTGTGTATGGGATACCATGCTTCCTCACAAGTTTTGAGAAATTGATTTTAAAGGATACTGGTGTGTGTAGTGATTAGTTATTTAATTTGAACCTAAATCCTGTTTTTATTAAACAATGATTCAGTCTACATTTTAAACTCAGATTTATAATCCAAATAGATTCTAATTAGTATCATTTTAAACATAGTGAGATCTTATTGTGCTATTTTGATTAACTGTTCAATCCCCAAGCAATCACCGGTGACCACTCCCTACTAACTCCATTATAATTATACCTTATTTCCGATGTTTAGAGACTACTTTAGTATGAACAAATTTTCGGTACGATATATCAATGTATTAACTAATGTAATATTTTTTACAGATGTATTGATACTACATTAGAAATATAGACAATCTTGATCTTTTACTATCACAGTCTATTATATAACCAACCTAAATTCTAGCATGTATTAAATAAAACAGGTATTTGTTAGCAAAATACCATTAACATAACTTCTTGACCAAAAAAAACAATTATTATCTAATATATAAAATTCTCGTGTCACAGTTTTCGTTGCCATACTCCTCCAAAACGGCTTGACCGATTTTGATGAAATTTTTTATGCTTATCCGGTATCTATGAGAATCGGCCAACATCTATTTTTCATCCCTCTAAATGTTACGGGTAGTCCACCCCTAAATTTTTTCGCATAAGTTTATTTTTACATAAGTATTGCACCCGTGCGAAGCCGGGGCGGGTCGCTAGTAGGAATATAAATTGCTTTTATAACAAAAATAAACATGTTTTTTATATAAAAATATTAAAATACCTTTTAAAATAAATTAGTTTATACCTATTGGACACGCAAACAGATTCGTATTGGTTTAATTTACACTTTTACAGACACCCTTTTCTCATTAATTCATAATTTTTTACCAAAAGGTTGAAACTCCCTAAGGAGTCTCTTTAAATCAGAAAAGAGGCTGTTTAAATTAAAAGGACTGTTATTTACCATTGGCCTGTAAGTAAATTAAGAGTTTTGTAACTAACATCATAGTTAGATAACTCAATAATGATTTCTCTGAAAATGACCCCTCAGTAAAGGATGGATGGAGGATATAATATATGATGTTCATCATGTGTGTAGTGCATCAAAATATGAATAAAAATATCATATAATATCTGCAAGTTCATATCTTAGAGAATAAATATTTGTGTCAGTTAATTTAAATATTTGTTGATGTTGAGTCAATGAAAACATGACACATATTTCAAACAACTTATCAACTAAAATATTTTTATATTATTTACTTTCTATGTCACTTCATTGTATGTTTTATTATTTTAATGATAAGAAATACTTAGTTTAAGTAGTTTAAATAATTATCATAATCATATGCATCATTTAAATGATACACATGAAGATTCGCTATTTACGACACTATTCTTTTATGGAATAAGTAGGTAAACGTTCAGACCGATCACCTGATTGTAAGCAAGGCATTACAAGCACATTACCAGCGTTTGGGGATAGAGAATATGAAAATTGTTGGGAATTCAGATATTGGGGAGGGGGATAATTAGGCCTCTGGTAACCTCACTCACATGAGGAATCACAACACAAGTGTTGTTTCACGTTAGTTCTCTGTGAGGCCAGTTTCACTGAGGTGTAACCAGCCCGTTCGTGTCGAAACATGGCTCTATCACACTTAAGATGACATTTATGAACCACCAAGAGCCCAAATAACTAAAAAAGAACAATATATGAAGTTTTGCACATACCTTTCTCCTGAGCCACCGCATTGCTGTCCGTAACAAACTTCTTGATCAATCCTAAGTATTTATTCCATTCCGGAGATTTTTCATCATCAATCTGGTTGAATAACTTGATGGCCTCTTCGTAACCTGCGACCCTGGCCTTCCATAACTTGTGAACACATTTCTCATCCGTCGGCAATTTCTTATATTCATTCTCATCCTCCATTTTGTGATGTCAATGTCAAATTTTGATTTCAAAACTGTTGACAAAAAGTTAAATGTAAGTTGTTGGTAGATAGTAGAAAGAAGCAGGAGATGAAAAACTTGTGGTTGAAATGGTACATATTTTACATCAGCAAGTTTAAACAAATTATGCTTTTGCAGCTGCACCTGTTTAAAATAAAATGTTGTAATCCATGATTGTCTTTCTATTTACAAAGAGGCTAGAGTTCACATTCACCATGAATGAATGTATTTGTGTTACAAAATTGTTAAATAAGTACATTTATTACCTATAATAAACACACTTATGAACCGAATATGCATATATTTCGCGATTTTTTCACGATTTCTGTAACCATTTGACTGCTGCGGTTGGCTATAGCCAACAAACTAAATGCACGTAAAAATGTATTCTTGTCGGTTGTGGTCAACTGTGACAGATCACATCATATTTTATTTGTCAGCTATAGCCGACTATGGCATTAAAAAGGATAGTAATAAGAACAATTTATTATCTAGCATGATTTCAATTAGAATTTTATTAGAAATGAGATTCTTATTTACAAATTACAAAACAAACAAATACATAAGTAATTATTTTTTCAGAAATTCTCATTCATATTTTTAATACTAAGTTTTAGTGAGATTAGATTAGAATTACATTTAACAACAAATCATGATAAGAAGCCAAGTCATAAACCTATATTTTAGTCAATAACTATGCACAGTTTATGGTATAATGAGGGTAAAAATAAGAAACACCTTATGTGGGTACGAGACTGTTGTAAACATGTTTCCTTTAAAGGATTCAAGGTAGCCCTGAATACAATTACATGTGAATAATTTACAAATTGCATTTGACCTTTTAGCACAAGATTGCAGTTTTCCTAACAAGGTCATGAATGTTTCTTACTAAATAAGGGCTGAACAAAGATTGTATGCAAAACTTCAGATACCATGCAGAGTTATCAATGTTCTCAGAACAATACTATGGTAAACAATGTCCATGCAATACACCTACTGCAGAATTACAATATCAATGAATATTAACTGACTCATACATGCAATGTGCAGCTAAACACCAACTAACGTGGACTCATTGTTATACTTTCTTAGTGTGTAGGTGTACAATTCGAACAACTACGACCAATTAAACAAGTCACAAAATACGTTAGGACGTAAGAAACGGTGATTCAACCGACCTAACGACACCTGCTTTCCAATATTATCATGGCTACCTGGCCAATTTTGCGGAACAAATAGTTAATTACGAGCCGGTTCATTTATAGCTGTGCCCGTTTTACATCGAGATGTGAAATTGGATCGCATCTCAGCCGACTGAGAACGCCCGACAAACGGTCACTTTCTCACTTTACAAACAAATCCAATCAAATGTCAGGACACTTACCGTTATCAAGGTATTATCAACAGTTCCTCTTGATAAAACTATGTTTATTAAAACTAAACAACATAAATGATAGTTAGCTCACATTATCCAGCAACAAGCAATATTTTAACCGACAAAAAGAAATGCCTTTTTCTTTTTCGTCGTCGTTTTTTTAAGTTTGCAAAATGAAAATGGACGGAAGATTTATGTTGCCATCAATTAAAATTCGTTTTGAAACCTAAACTGTCAAAATCATGACCAATGTTTAAAAATCATTAAAAATATCTAAAAAATATATTTCTACAAATTATAAAAAACATTATAAATTACAAATCCTTCTTTTATGAACTAAACGTTGAGAAATACGGAAATTTTAACCTGACGAACGTTTACAAAGTGAATATTAATATTGATGACAATCACAGAGCATAGTTGCTAGGTTCTAGTGTCATTAACAACAACAACAACATTATTTCATTAAATGTTCCCAGGGTATTATTTTGTTGATTTTTGTTTTATTGATCATTAAAAAGAATTCGAATTCGAATAAGATAAAAACATTTCATTGGCATAGGGCAACACTGATGAACGTCTAACGTATCCCATTCGGTCTCTGTAATCATTCGTTCATTGTTGATTATGTTCATTCTTCGGTACATCAAGAAATCCGAGAATTTTTTAACAAAACAAAATAGTTCGTTCTGAGAACATCAGCGAGCGAGACGTGTGTCGCATCGTTATCGTGACAACTGTGCGTTCGCAGTTCTAACAGTCGACGAAAATAAATAATACCTCTGTATGTAATTGTTTTGATTTCATTATAGCTATTTGTGCGTTGAAATTTTGATAATGATGATGGAGTAATCATATGGAGCGTTAAAGCTTGTTTTAAATAGACTAAATAAACAACAGTGCTGTGTTTTCGTTCGGCGTTGGGGCGATATCGGAGAGAAGGGAATTCAACAGCTGTCTGTGCATAGTATGCTTCATATTGTAAGTATGTTATGCTTTTCTGAACATTTGGGTAAATCATTTTCAATGCTGGCTAAGACATGTGATTGGTTATAACGCTTGTCTCAAGACTTTCGCGGAGCGTCCTTTGTTTTTGAAACGTCGACGTGAAAATTAGTAAACATTGATGTACCTATGCAAGTTATGTGTAAGTAATAACATTCGAGTGTTTGCTACACATACCTGTACTAATGGGTTCCCATTTTCATTGAAAAATTAACCAATTAAGTTGGATATTTCGTTACTATCAACGTTTATTGGTTACCTAATAAAAACAAATAATACACTATCAATGATTCCAAATTGGATTTCATTTGAGGTCATCTCAAGTATCCGGGATCATGAGAAGGTCTCAACTCTACACACTGTGCTACATAATGCAACCTACCTACTTTGTATAGTGAGAATATTATTTTACCGGCGTCCTGTTTTGATAAGTTATCGTAATCTATGTACCATTAACTGTGCACCGACTCGACCATGGTGCATTCATTCAATTTCTCGTAACGAGAAAGGTGCAGGCACTTTACCCTTTTTCGTTTTTATATGTATAAATTAAAGTTGTTCTATACTGCGCAATTTTATAAATTCTTCATGTTGTTTTATACTTAAGTAGCTGTATACTTTCAGTGTCAGGCCATCGAGCCCTTGCCAACTGCATATTTATAATTACAACGTTAATATTACATTGTAGATAGGTAGTTAGGTACCTACCTTGTTATCTATGTATGTACCGACTATCCGAATCATTGAAAAGTTCATAATAGATATCTTCCGAAAGCCGTAGTTGTCTGATAAAAAATTCGTAAATTCATATCAAATTGAAAATTAGAAATAATCGTAAAAACAAGATAGCAGCTAATAACGTTTTATATGCTCCTTAATTAGAAATTGATGAACATGGTAAATCAGTGACAATAAACAAATACAAAAGTCTAATCAGCACTATCTAGGTCTTACGTTCTTACAAACAGTAGCCTGTCACCAAAGCGAATTACTTTTTTTACACTATCTCAAATGCTGGTTACCTATAACATCCCCACACCTTATTCTCGTAAATTTACGTAGCTAGAAGTGTTAGAACCTCTTTTTATAATACTGAAATTTAAAATAAAATTAGATTTAAAGTCTTTAAACGCTTTGGTACAAATTAAGGAAATTCGTCAAATATATTTACAATTTCTTATTTAAATATTGTTTCGGAATATCAAATTTATTGTAAGTGGGTGAGTAATACCGCTTACAAAGTCAAATAAATAAATAAATAAAATACCTTAAAGATATGATTCGATAAGAATCTGTGTAATTTTTCGACAATGAAAGAGTGATAATCAGAGATTGCAAAAAATCTACAATATAGACACATGCAACATTTTTCGAATTATCTAGACTACTCATTCATTATCTTTCTAACCTTAACGAAAGAATTTGAAAATTGTCGCTTAGATTATAATATTCATGATAAAGGTATCGGAACGGAACCGAATTCATAAACCTGAAATATCCGGTTTGATAAACTTTCTATAGGTAAGTTAACTTTGACTCATCCATCCTTTGTTTCAAAGTGACTAACCACAGACATTTTAACACGCTTTTTAAATTACAAAGGAGTCTTCAAGTAAATACTTTGTTAGCTAAACTCTGTGGAAAGAAAAAAAAGTCTGCTTTATTCATTGTGCATAGTTATTCGTATATTTTTTTTATTAATTCATAACAAAACGCAGTTTAACTATTATACAATAAATATTTAGTTATCTACGCTATAAAATATTATTACTACGACCATTGCTTCCAAATAAAAACATAATAGTTAACGTTATTGTGTCGTTAGATGACAGGTAACTAGTTACCAGTTAAATTCAAAAATGGTTGTATATTATTCAGTTAATGGACCGTGAGACACTCGATCGTATGGTGAATTATTTATGGTCATAGTTAATACAACTGTTACCATTGTTGTCAACAAATTGAATTACCTTTTGCAATGCAAGCTATATAAAATACCAGACAAATCGTAAATCTAGATTCTTTCTTCTAGTTACTCTAAATCTAGTAAGAACACCTGTTCATCACCGACCAGGAATCTCACGGTTCTTCCGCAAACTTTTTCTCTGGCCTATTCAATCAACTTTTTGTCACTGACAACGATAATTGAAGTTCGGTTAGTGTAAGGTCGTTAATTACAAGTATCGATAGCTACTCCCGGATGGTAAGGTCTACCAAATTGTGTTAGTTCCGATATTTGATTGCTATAACAATATTATGACGGGTAATGGAGGACAGGATGAGTACACCAGTTTTCTCAGTATTGTAAATGTTGCCATTATATCTGAAAGAATGAGCAAAGCGAGAATTTCTTCTATTGTGCGGAAAATTGTTACATTCTTTGTTTTGAAGATTCTCTTTGTTTTGTTTTGTTGTGAATCTTTTAAAACCAAACGAAATCAGGAAAGATTTATTTTTTTGTCACCCTGAAGATTTTACTCTTCTTCTAAAAACTTGAACGACTCCATGTTGCGGAAGTAATCGATAGAAATGAGGTATCTACGGTGCGGCGGCTACTGAAAGGCAATTATGCCTCTATTACAGCCTTTTCAAGTGAAACT